CGGTCAATTGGTTAGCGAGTTCTCTGGCATCAGCAGAGTATGCTTCGTCTTCTGGGTCGTCGTCGATGGCCTTGGCAGTATCCAGGCGTAGACCGATAGGATCCATTGCCTGGTCGATGTTTGCTGAGAAGCCGCGCAATGTGGGGTATTGGAAGATAGTAGTCATAGGCACATCGATATCTTTCCACTCTTGTCGGATCTTGAAGAACAGCTGTTGTGCGATGATACTGTGTCCGCCGAGGTCGAAGAAGGAGTCACTTCCACCGATACCATCGGCCGTTACACCGCGATCGCCAAGGAGCTCTGCCCAGATACTGGCCATCTTCTTCTCAGTTGGCGTCAAAGCTGCGCCTAACTGTGAAGGACGTCTTGCACCAGCAGCTGCTAGATGTGCTGGTTCTGGGAATGGCAACGCTGGTCGGTCGATCTTGCCGTTCGGGTTCAGCGGAAATCGAATGAGTGGAACAATGATCGATGGCACGGCATATGCGGGGAGCTTCTTCTTGAGATGCTCTCGCACGTCATCTCGTAGATACTTGAAGCGCTTCAGCAATGTGACCATACTAGTGTCATCTGCAGAATCGCTGTCTTTTGCACCACGCTCTTCAAGCCAGTCGTACCAACGCTTCATCTCGGGGACGATGTAGCCTGTGATATTAGTCATGGTCAAAACTGCGGAGAGAGTTGAGACTTACTGACGAGTGTTGGCTCCTCGTAGGCATCGCGTTTCAACAATGTGACGTTTTCGCGCACCAAAGGATGAGCAGAGAGATGTGAGTCAATCTCACCCAGTTCAATACGGAAACCTCGAATCTTCACTTGCGAGTCTACTCGACCTGTGCAGTGCACGTTTCCATCCTCTGAGTAATGGCCCAGGTCGCCAGAGCGGTAGAGCCTGTCTCGTGGACCTCTGTAGAACTCTCGCCACGGTTCAGTGGCGCCTTGACTCTCTACCTTTTTGTTGTCTTCGTCTATCCACTTCTGTTGGTCTACAAACCAGTTGTCGACGAACTTGGCGGCTGTCATGTCAGGCAGACCCAAATATTCCTCGGCCAGACCACCAGCTCGTACGTAGATTTCACCACTCTCGCCGGGCTTGCAAACCTTTGTCCTGTCTTCGCGGTTGACTACCAAAAGCTGGACGTTGTTCATGCCACGACCAGCTGGGATCACCTCACCGATGCTGTCAAGGAATTCGGGTGCTTCAGTACAGCTTGGCAACTCGTAGTAGCTAACGGCTCTTTGTGTTTCTGTGGTTCCGTACATGTTGACGATGCGGACGTTTGGCGCCAAGTTCTGCAACCTCCTGCAATCGCGCTTGATCAACAAGTCACCCACAAAGAATGAGTGGTGTAGGCTGGGGAAGACTGCCGAAGCACCTCCAACGAGAATTTGGCCCATGGCAGGTGTGAGATGTGTAACGGTTGCGCCATACTTGCGCATCCACTCGGCAAGCTTCTCATGCTGGATATCTTCCTTACTGGGTACGAGTAGCTGTGCACCAAGGAAGAGTGGGGTAAAGATGTCTCGCTGGATTGGGTCGTGAGCAATTCCGGAAAGCATAGTGAATTTGTCGTTCTCAGACAGTCCAAAGGTCTCAGCCATCCACGGGAAGTAGTGCGTCAGCGAAAAATGACGGCCCTTGACACCCTTGGGCTTTCCTTCGGATCCTGATGTGAATGAAAGTGTGGGTGTCGAGTCTGGACCGACCAGCACGCCCGGGAGCTCGGCCTTGAGCTTCTGCTGCTCCTCCAGCACATCCTTTCCATCCTTTGAGCCTCCGACAAGTGTTCCATCGTCTTTGAGTTCGAGCGCGGGGATCTCGGTCCGGAGTTGTAGGTTGTCCTTGACGTAGTTCCTGACTTGCTCTGAAAGGGGACCAGCTTCGCGCGTGGCCTTGTCGATGACTACGAGGGCGCGTGGCTGGGAGACTTCGAGGTAGATACATTGGCGGTCTGGAGGGTATCTAGGCGACGTCAGTATGTAGAGGTGGATCTGGCAAGTTGAACTTACAGCGGGTCTAGTACTGAGAAGGTCGCTCCTGCCGCCAGGACAGCCATGATGGCTACTACTAAATCTACACCTCGGTGGGCAAAGATCATAACCACTTCCCCTCTCTGTACGCCATTTTGCACAAGATGATGGGCTAAGACTGCAGTAGCCTCGAATATGTGCTTGTATGTGAACTTGCGCTCTGGTGTCTTGCTGGTGGCAGTCTCAACCACACATGGCCGCTCTGGGTGCTTGCGAGCATTGGCGGCGAAGATGTCGTGAATTGGTCCTTTGAAGTCAGACCAGTGAAGGTCTGCGGTAGGGTCCGGGATGCTTCCCTTGGTCAGAGAAGCCATTGTCGCGCGTACTTGTTCCTGCATGTCTCAGGGAAATATAGGGCGGGGTCGCGTTGTGAATGTGCGCATGCGCGTAGACAAATCGAAAATGTCCAATTGGAGTGCGGCCAAAGGGAAGAGAAGTTTGAAATTGGGTCCAGTGTAAGTCGTCTTCCTGAGGTCCCAGAGAGTGAAGTTTGAAAAGAAAACAGCAAAGACTTGTACATCAAAAGTAATAGACGGGTATGACGCATCCAGTCAAAATGCTCGACTCAGGCGATATCGGCTAGGGCGAACCCCCACTAGGGAAGGCTCGACGCGCATGTCTGTCCGGGGGAGCATCATCAGCCCTACGCTAGCCTGGCAAACCGTCCTCGCCAAAATGGAAACATTGGTCTGCCACGACGCGTCATCCAACGCTGTCGAATTATTGTCTGCTTGCAACTGCGGCGCCGTGTTGTGCTTTCGTGTCGCTCGTTTAATTGTTTATCCGCTCCAGAGGCTGATTGGGTCCTGTAATACCTGGGAGCAGCAACTTCAGGCCCACCACGGATAACGGCTCGCAGTAGCCTGCAAGAGCTCATGTTGCCAGCATCACCGTAGTTGGCTTTCTGTTCACTTTACCTTCACGTTCCCGTTGCGCCATGCCGATCCAGCACACCTTCATGGGCCGGCCCGTTACGCTGCAGATGCCCCCGCGCCGTTTCCAAGTCATCTTTATCGTCCTGTTCTTCTTCGTTATCAACTTTACCTTTTACGGACCTCCGTCACGCGATAGCATCCCAACCTACGACCAAGTGGCCGATGCTGTAAAGCATCCCCAAGCCCACGTGCCTGATCTGGGCCAGCTGCCAGCTGTACCCAATCCCTTCGGTCCCTCAGCCCACAAGCCTCCGCCTGTCCAGGCCAACAGCACTACCGCGAGTGCCTACGGTGCCATAGAATGGCTTAGTGACTTCAAGTGGCGCAACCCTTTCTCCTACTCTGTAACCCTCGATGAGAACACCGCCCTACTACCTCCCCTACGCGAACGACCGCCCGTTTACACCTACTACGATGTCCCGAAGAAGCAGGACAAAGACGTGTCTGCGGCAGAGCAACGGCTCATACTGGCATGGCGACGAGCATGGTGGGCACAAGGCTTCAAGCCCGTTGTTCTGTCTCGGGCTGAAGCTATGCACCACCCACAATACCAGCTGTTCCAGCGCATGAAGCTGGATGCCAAGATTGAGTTCGAGGTTATGCGCTGGCTGGCTTGGGGACACATGGGCGGCGGCGTTCTTGTCAATTGGCTCGCACTGCCCATGGCCGAGTATGAAAACCCCATGCTGAGCTTTTTGCGACGAAACGAATACCCCAAGCTGTCAAGAGTTCAATCTTTGGACAACGCCGTCTTCTTCGGAGACCGAATGACTGTCGACGATGCTATCAAGAAGGTCATGGGCAATGACCTGCTGAAGAATGTTACCGCGAGCAAGGACAAGCTCTCCAAGCTAGCGAAAAAAGAGGGTGGACCAGTCGTCAATCTTCTGTCTACAAAGGACATCCAAGTAGACAACAAGGCCAACGGTATCGCATCCTACAACATGGCCACCATCTCCAGCAAGTACAAGACGGTTGCCGACAAATTTACCAACACAACTCAAGCCGTGGCCCTCGACTTACTCGCGACTCTCATAAACTCACATCTTCACCTGACCTGGCAAGAGCAACACCCCGAAGGCGTCGCTATTGTAAAGCCAGTACCGGAACATACTACTGCCCTCTTACGCGAGACGACGGATATTGCGCGCAACCTGACACAATGCCCAAGCTCCCCAATGCCCAAATCGTGCCCTCCTAATCGGCCCAAGTGCAAACCTTGCGATGCCAACAAGTCTATGAAGCTTCAGCAATTTCCGGAGTTTGTGAACACAACTAAATTCTTTACGATTGGAACCGTTCCGCACCCCTACACACTCACTTCGTTGCATTACACACGCGACATGATAGACACCAACTTCTTGCGCAATAGCGCTTCGCGCGATCTATGGATACGGAAGCTAACTGATAAGTCGATTCCGAGTGAACACACCGAAGAGTTCCGTGTACTCAAGTTCAAAGAGCTAGTAGCAGCAGCTCCAGCGCATACCTTGTGGCTTACAGCCGAACGCATCACGCAAGATGATCTGGACTGGATTTTTGGATTCGGTCTCCCACAGAACGCCTCCACAACCGCTGAGCCCAGTTCACCAAGCAAGGAGTCCGAGATCATCATCTTCCCGCGTCCGGAACCTCCCAAGCCCATCGAGGGTATAGATGTACCGGACGAGAAATGGATTGAAAAGGAGCAAGAGCGCCTGAAGAAGGCGCGCGACGCTATCAAGAGCAAGGATAGGAACATGAAGTCAGTGGTTGGGGCCGTGGAGCAGTGGAACCTAGCAGATACGGAAGCCTGGAGGTTTTCGCGTGCCTATTCAGCAAGGAGACGGCAAGAGCGGAAGAAGTGGGAAGAAGAAGAGGCAAAGTTCTCAGGCAGTGAGAAGAAGGCTGGAGTCAGGCCCGGAGAGGGTGGTGGAAGATGGACTGATAGGAGCTAATCCAGATAGCGGCTTTTGAGAATTGCATACAGTTCTGGCGATACTGAGGTATGTACACTAAGAACGCATCGTGTTTCTATTGACCTCGGCTCTCTCAGTTCACAACAGTGCATACTTTGCCGATGTGCTGACCAGACACCAAGTACTCGAAAGCTGATACGACGTCTTCCCTTTCAAAACCAAAGACCTTCTCCACGGGCACGTTGAGGTTCTTAGAAGTCACAAAACATGTGACATCTTCTAGTTGTTGCTTAGACCCAACCATGATGCCGCGAACGATCGCACCCTTGGAGAGGGCCAGCGCAGCTACATCGGGCATCTTGTCTTGTGGGCATGGGGCAAGGAACCCTATCACGGCAACGTTTCCGCCATAGGCCACTGCTTCAATGCTTTGAGCAATCGTCCCGGCTCCACCGTTCTCGAGAATAAAGTCCGCACCGTGGCCGTTGGTGATCTTGAGCACCTCTTGAGACCAGTTCGCATTCGACTTGTAGTTGATGGCGTAGTCGGCACCATACGTCTTTCGGACTTGGGCGAGCTTGTCGTCAGATGAAGAGGTGATGATTGTAACAGCGCCTGCTGCTTTGGCTAAGATTAGACCAGTGATCGAGACGCCACCAGTGCCTGCAAACGTTGTTAGTGAAGGCTGTGATACACAGAGTGAAGCCTTTTTACCAAGAAAGAGCACTGTCTGTCCAGGTTTCAGGGAATTGTTGCCATAAAGTGCATTCCAAGCGGTGGTGCCCGTACATGCCAAAGCCGAAAGTTGAGCGAAGCTGAGCCCGCTGGTCGATGGCACTTTAACGAGCGCAGAGCTAGGTAATGCGATGTATTCTCGAAGCACTCCATCGTAGCAACCACCCAGGCTATGGTGCCAATCCGGCATGGTACCATATAACGTCTTCAAGTCAAAGGATGCGATAACCCTGTCTCCCTCGGCGAAGTCGTCCACTTGATTGCCCACACGTACGACCTCGCCAGACAGGTCAGAGCAGGGCACCACATTGTGTTTGACAGGAAAGGGGTACTTTCCAGTGGCGACGGCGAAGTCGCGGAAGTTGAGAGCAATGCCCTTGATTCGGATCAGGACTTCTTGGGAGGCAGGCTCAGGCACCTTTTCTTCGTTGACCCGGAGGTCTAGAATGGACGTGCGCTGAGGCAGGCGGAACACACGTTGTGTGGTCATGATGGATGGTTTGTGTAGGAAGTCGGAACGTGAAAGGTACTATGAAGACAATGAGAGATGCTGAGAGATCGTAGGAAGTGTTGTGCAGTCAGATTGATGAAGGTGTTGGTATGCATTTATATCTATCCACCACGGTTGTAGTACGCTTCGATGCAATCCCCGAAGGTGCAACCGCAACCGCCAGTTCTTTAGTCATCTGGTAGATGGAGACGCGCGGTATGTGGATTACATGCTGGTGCAGAGCTGTATTAGCTACAGGACACGCCTATGCGAGCAGCGCAAGGAATCTGCGAGGAGCGACTCATCCTACATCCCTTTCCTATTTTGATCGGTAGGCTATTTCGGTCGGCGAGCGCTTCAGCTTGCCCTTTTTCTATGGCCCGACTTCGGCAATCCGCTCTCAACCAGGCACACCGAAGCACTCTCGAGCTTACCAGTACTCCTCTACCTACCTCGGCGCTTCCACTTTCATTCCTATATGACACAACGCGCCATTGCGAAATATCGTTTCCATGACAGGTGACGCACCCATTGTTGCGCAAATCAGTCGAACACGGTCTCGATTCGGATGGTAAGTTTGGAACGACATCATCATCCCCTTTCACAACGCTGAAACTGCGAGATGAAGCTTGTGCTGTCGACGCAGAAAGCGGAAGTGTGCGTTCATCCACGGTTCTCTTCTTTCCTCCTTACTAAGTTTTGTTAGGCGACGGAGCTCAGCCAAGGTGTCATGGCTGCCAGGTTCGCGGTGAGGAGTGTCGCTGGGGTCTGAAGGTGACATTCCATCCGTCTAGGTCGCTAGAGTTGTCCGGCGAGCACTGCGCTGCACTGCTTGCCATCGAGAGAGAACGAGGTCAACCTGACAAGCAAGCCAATAGTATCCAGATCGTGAACGATACGGATCAGATTGTGCACGAGTATCAAGACTGTTCCGCTACTACATTTCTTGAGTCTGAGATGACAAGGGTGGCCGCACCTCGGCCAGAAGACGCTATGGCAGACTACGCCATTCCAGGATTGAACCCAACGAGATCGACAGTGTTTGATATAAATTTTGCGATGACTTCTCCTGCAACCTTTCAGACTCAAGCTTTTGCAGATAGTGGTGGTGTTGCTTTCCCTTCTTCAACCTCGAACGATCGAACGTACCACGAAAATGCTTCATCATCAAGTACGTCGACCTACTCAACTCTGCCTCATCGAGCCGTCACTGGGGCGGTGCCATTGGAAACCGATACTGTTCCTGTATCACAAGCGGAACAGTCTAGGCTCCTCGGCGCCTATCTTCAAGAGACTGGCACATGGTGTGAGGCTACAGATTCTAGCAGACACTTCACGGTATCATACGTTCATAAGCTCATTGAAAACCAGCCGTTTGCAGGCGCAGCGATGGCTTTAGCGTCACGGCAACTTGACGCCCTTCGTAACGACAAGCGTCAGGCTACACTGAGCCTATATCAACACGCCGTGCGATCTCTACTTCATTATGAACCATCGCAGTGTGGTCAAGCCACACTAGCCACTTGTATCCTGCTGAGTGTCTACGAAATGATGGCTTCTAATGTCAGTGACGGAAGACGTCATCTACAAGGCTGTGTATTCAATTTGACCAACAAAGGTTGGAATGGCTCTAGCACAGGACTAGTCAACGCCTGTTTCTGGGCTTTCGCGCGTTTAGGTATATCGTGACCACAATGAGTTACTAACTCCTACTGATCCATTTCTAGACGTGTCAGCAGCCTTTGTTCTCAAAGAGCAGACTTTGGTGCCAACCGACGATTGGGTTGACGACTGCAATGCATGGTCAATTGCAGCTACTCTAAATACCGACGCGTACTGCAATCTTACTATTCTTATCTTTGCGAAGATAATTAACATGATCGCAAGATGTCACAGCAACCGTCAATCTGACACGCAAGAATTGTGGAGCGAACTCCAGGACTGGCGACGATACCGTCCAACGCAGGTACTACCTCTAACCAGAACGGAGGCACACCTAAGGAGCCCGTTCCCGATCGTTGTGCACACTGGCAGCTCATCGGTATGCGGGAACACGTTCTACCACGCCAGTGCCGTTTTGTTACTACGGACGAAACACGTATGTTGTGACGAAGCGGACACCGGAGCTGACGTGTACAACACTATCTGGCATGCAAGAGAGCTATGCGGTATTAGTACAACGAATACACTGCACTCGAACTGGGTGAACCAGGTACAGCTTCTTTACATCGCTGGGCAAGCATTTGGTAGTGGTTCAGGCATGCAGCAGGATATCTCGCGGCTACCAAATGAGAGCGACGGTACAGACGACATGTGTTATGCAGCGGAGAAGCTTGCAATTTTGAAGCACCTCCCAAAGATAGAACGTGAGACTGGGTGGAAAACGTCTGATAGAGCCGCGGACTTGAGAAGGCTCTGGGAACTCGAGTAACCGTATACAGTGTTCTTAGAGTATCGAAAAGGCATTGAACCAGACTCCTCATATGGCAGGCAAGAAAACGTGATACACTGAGAAAGACAAGAACGATGCCTGTGCATTGATTCAACTCTAGCATTCCTGAGGTGTTACAGTAAGAATACGTTGTGCTTTCAAAGAACTTTTGGCTCCCTTATTTCACAGCAATATGTACCTTGCCGACGTGCTGACTATATAACAGGTACTCAAAGGCTGCAACAACACCTGATTTTCAATTATCAACTCCATCTGGGGCTTGGGCCCGTCCGAAAGGAGAAGATGCTGCTGTCTAACATCTGTCGAATTGCAGTCGTTAACAACGAGGTTCACCCAACCCTCACATGCAGGCTACCCTACGACAGACATACTCTACGATATCACAGTGGTATTCCCAGTCACCTCCTCAACTGCATGGCGCAAAGCCGCGACGGATACTTCTCTCGTCTGCTCTTGGGCTTTCGGAACTGAATGGGTAAAGAAGGTCAAATCCCCCATCTGCACATACTACTGGGGTCTCACTAGAAGACGTGATTCAATTACTACAGACTATGTAACGAAGGACGCTATCTCCGAACGTTTGGATCGATCTTTCCCTACTTGAATTTCTTCATCTACTCTTTTCGCATACCGTCTTCCTTCATGTTGAATTTTGATCATCTCTCCTTTGTGGCGTAAAAACTTGTCGTTCTTTGTCTCTTCTTGGTACATGTACTCTTTCGATCTCGTCTGGCTCGGCTCTAGACCAACAGTAGGAGATTGAGATCACCAGAAACAAGTACTGGGTATGACTGAACAAAACGCGTTGAAGCAGTCTTTGCAATAAACTAGAAATGAAACGCTAGAACGCCCTTGACCGGAAGTAATCAACTCCTCCATCTAACCATAAGCGGGGATAGGAAGCGGGATTTTTCCAAAAATCACCAGATACCCTTAAGTCTTTGATACTAGGGCTGATGATGCATCCAACGGATGTATCTTGGCAACCATCTTCCCTATAATCACAATATATCTGGCCGAACAAGTCTGACAGAAGCTCAAGCATTCAAGATCTTACTTCCACAACGTTCTGATATGGTCATTGGAAAATTGACTTTATTGCACACGAAGACATGGCGGTTGCTCGTCTGGCATGCGTAATCAGCTTACTTCTATTCGCCACTACTCGAGCGACATTGACTTTCCCGCATCCATGACAGTAGCAAGGACGAATGATGAAAGGCTTAGAGCGACCGTGAGAATGATATATCGCACATAGAATGTTGGGAACATGGTATTGTTGCCAGACTGGACGGTGCAGTAGATGCCGCAGTGGAAGGAAGAACGAGAGTGGAACCTCGGTTGTCTTACATCTGGTCTCGTAATTGCGCTCAAGTTTGCATTGTTGAGAGGAGAAACTTGCTCCTGCTTTGGGATGCTCACTGTGCCTCTTCCCGATGATACTCTGCAGATCAACAGTGACAGCAAGAAGCAGCTTAGTCGCTGAATGTCGGACCAAAGGCTATGTTTGATGCACTGAGTGTTGTTACGACGCACGAATATTCATCGGCGAAAGTTTGAGTTTTGTGGAGAGACGCTTTCATTCTCTTCTTCTTCATTTCGGCAAGAGCCTTGCGCTTTAGGTTTGCGTCACGAATATGTAAAGCACCGCTGAAGCTTATAGAAGACTTTTGATGCAAATCGGCGACAGTTTTGTCAATGGTGTCGCGAGGCACGGTGATTAGCTTACGAATCCTCACAGTTGTGGTGGATGAAATTACTCGTCAGCTGACGCTGTCAAGAGCATAAGCCCTTGATAGCGTCGCATGAGCGACAGGCGTGCTTGTCGATCCTATTTGCGAAAGCGGAAATTTGTCGTCAGTCTGCCTCAAGTAGTACAAAGGTACGACAATGCTAAGAGGGTTTTGGATTACACTTTCAGGACGGGTACTACGGGGAAAAACGGCTAGCTTAACAGCGGGTGATCCGCGTTACAGCTGAGCTTAGTAGTCCAGGTGATGTGACCGTGATCAGAGCAGTCTGTGAGAAGTACCGTGGGGAGGTCGAGACTTGTTTCTGTGGAAGAAATATGCTGAAACCCTCCCACTTCGAGCATGCGAAGTAACCTTGGAAGTGGTATGCGGCATGCGCTGTCTTCTTCCACGTTACTGCACCCATGACGGAGCAGTGCATCCTTCTGTTGCAGAGTTTTCGCAAGGCATACTCATCTTTTCCCACGAGAGTCAGAGTGCAAAGTCGGGACGCGCGTGTTTTGTGAACAGCGGCGCCCTCGAGGTCATTCCCAACCACCGCAATGCGACGGCAACGCACGGACGCACAATCACAAGCCACATTTTCTCCAGTTCCTAAATTCTTTCGTCACTGCAATAACGGAGATGTGGCGTTGAGTTTGCTGGAGGCCGAGGTTCGTTGGTCAATGGTCATTGGCTGTACGTTTGTCACAAATGACGCTCCATCAAGACGCAACCAATGAGCTTGCAAGAGCGGACTGTCTGGAAAGTTGGCCGATTTGATGGTGCATGTCTAACATAATTTCAGCCTAATCCTGAGTAATGTTCAGCTTTTCAGAAGCGAAGTGCACGTGCTAGCGAAAGTTGGCACCTGTTAGCACCTGTTAGCAGTCTCCATCTGCGGATAGCCGAAGCTCGGCTATCCAGACGTCGGCCCCACATCTAGAATTCGTGGCTCGTAAGGTGCCGCAACCAAGAATTATGGCAAACTTGCGATTCGTCGGCTTTACTCCACCGTGAGTACGCATCGTATTCCCGTCATGTTCTCTCCTATTGTGGATACACTGTGAATCATGCGATGGCTACATTAGTATTGAGTATGGTTGCCTGAAAGACGATGATGGAATTCGGTGTCGTACCCGGGCAACACCCTGAACTAAAGACGCCATTTGTTCTTCGATTAGTCTTCTTCGCAATATCGCTTGCAGAGATCGCCGACATGTGGACCTGTCATACTAGTGTGATTTTCCACGAGGTTCATCGGTGATATTCCGGTGATCTGCGCTACCCTTTGGATGGGCGAACCCAGAAAACGAGAGGTGTGTGCTTCAACGCGTGTCGATCACGGTAGTTACCACCCGGATGGGAAGTTACACTCGGCGGGTAGCTGTTTGAGGATGAAGTACGCCTCAAGAAGGTTTCGGCATGCACCTGTAGTCATTCAAGTGACATGTGCGTATACGAAGAGTGCTCAGAAGGTGGGAGATATCATTTTGATTCAAACTACATTCGAACGCGCGCGACTAACCTCGGCCCTACTGCCTCTGCGGTCCCTCATGGCTTACTAGGCTCGCTTCATCTGTGTCGCTATGACTATGCTTTACCATGTAGGAGGTCTTGACCCTAATGCCGTCTTCTATCTTATCGTCGAAAGACTCGGTCCGAGGACTCGATATAGCAGCGCTAGTGTTCATGTTGTATGACTTGTGTTTCTGGCTAACGTTCTTGAGTTCGTTGCCACTACCGTAGTTGTAGTACTGTTGACGACTGCGTACTGAGGAGCCGCCAAGGATAGGGAAGAGTTTAACCAGGAGAAGGCGGAGTGTTGGAAGGCAAGCGCTGAAAGATAGATTAGCATGTGCAAAAATGACAGTTGAGACAACACAACTTACCACATGATACCAACACATATTTCGATCGTGCTCCACACTGAAACGTCGTAGAACTCCCAGCTTACGTTCGAGGAAGCGGCGAAGTGCACCAGAGCCTGCAGACGCAGAATACTGACGACGGTAACGAAAGTGCCGACGCAAAACATAAGTGCTACACCGACCTTCTTTTTCCAGTGTAACTTCAACCCCCAAAGCTGCCAAAGAGGTATACCCAAAATCCAGAAGTCCAGAGCGATCGAGATGGCAGCGTTTGATGCGGTGATGGCGTTGATCTCCAGACAAGTGCCCTCATGCATACCGTCCCATTTCGTCCAGAAGTAGTGAATCGGCCGACACTGGAATACCGCAACAATGATAAAGGCCAAGCCCCAGAGTACAGTGAAGACGACAGTACCCCATAACAGTCGCTGGACTTCTTTACTGGGAAACACGCGGATGTAAAAGAACAACAGAGTGAGCTTCAACAGCGTGAGCTGGAGGAAGTACAGCCACGCCATAATGTAGAAGTATTGGAGCATCTGGGTGATCTGCGTTGGAGTCAAGGCCCAAAGGTCTTGACCAAGTCCATTCTTCACAGTACCGAAAACAGTGATGATGGCGCTGGGTATGGCGGCTATAAGCGTTGCTAGGACGCAAAAGTCATCGTAGCCAAAGTCGAGTCTCGACACGGTGGCCTTGAAGGCGAAACGGATCACAACGAAGGCAGCGGCAATGCATACCATTGCGTTTGACAACGTCACGTAGTGTTCTCCACGATGTCGCACCGGTGCACCGCAGTTGGTAAGACTGACATTTCGTGTGACTACACTGGTTAGTCGTTGGGCCTCTTCTGTCAAGTTGATGAAAGTACCTAGAGCTTCAGGAATGGTGCAGCGGCTGCTTACACACAATGTTACATTGTTCTGGAAGACTTCGTTGGTGCAGATACAGGCATGATCTGTTGGCGCGCAGGTGTTTGTGCCGAAAGCTTTTAGAAGGCAGATTTGCTGCAGCAATCAGTAAGAGACTTGCAATCAATCTGAGATTCAAAAAGTGGAGTTTACTTACAGCGCAATCCGGAAGCTCTGACAGAGCAGTCTGCTGTGCTGCAGTGACCACGAAGACGGTAGCGAGCCACAGCAGAATGCATTTGCGGAAAAGAGAAATCATGTTGATGCTCCCAGACCCGACTGTTCGGATGACGAGTACAGGGAGATTAAAGCCCGGATCTGTAGCTGGCGCACAAGTATTCGCAGAAAAGTCTCAGGTAAATTGACAGCGGGACATGTATTACCATTTATCCCCCGCCTCGAAACGGAAGGTGTTCCTGGGATATGATGTGCGCAGGGGTTGCTCGTGCGGTTTATAGTGCATCTCTTGCAAGGTCCAACACTGAAACCCGCGAGTCGTTTTTATCAAGCTTGCTACCTCTATCGGTAGGAACTGCCGGCTGCAGAAGCCTACCCGACCATGGCATTTCGATAGCGCAAACTTTGTTAAGAAGCGCTGGCGCATAATCGGCCGGAAGTTACATCAGCTAAAATCGGCGGCATGTCATCCAGAAAGGGGTCATGGTAGCGTTCAAGCCGTTCTAGCAGTATGTGGGGAGCGGTCCGGTGTGTCATGGGCTGGTGAACGCCACACACGCCAACCGAAAGCCACTGTAAAACCCGATCTAAGGCGTCCAAGATCCACGGTCAACGAAGAAGAATGCTGGACATGAAAAGTGTGACCCAAGGAGGGCATGATAAGCATTGCGCAATAATGGAGGCGGGTGAGCACGTGGAGTTGATCAGTGCAACAATCGTTGTTTGGTTCGCACCTGGACAGTTCTGCTCGCTTCACGGCTGCCGAAACGAGCGTTCATCCCGAACGCACCAAGACGCTTGCCAAGATGCGCGCGCGTGTCCGGTTCCTGTCGCTGCATTCCTACGGCTCACATGCGAATCCTATAGTTTCACGCCTCCCAATCCTTTCAGGAACCCATGGCTAAGGGTCCACTCTAAGCCTCAGGCCGCCCGGTTGAATCCCCCCATTGCTGTGTTGACCCACTATGCCCTGCAGTAGCATCACCGCGTCTGCGGCCATGGATTGCCGCTCGAGGTTTTCGCCGGCTTCCAGCCCAGTGCAAGGCTACACCTTGCAATGCTATGGGCGTGTGGCACAGTGTCTCAAGTGGACTCTGTCGGCGCTGTATCCTACAAGAGGAAGCAGACGTTGGCTAAGGCGTCTTCTTTGAGATGGTCTCCGAGATGAGAAGAATAGTTCGTGGCAATGCGAAGAGAATAGTAAGGGGAGCAATGAGTATATATGAGGCCCGGGTCAAGTCTCTTGGTATCCATCACTACCATCGAGCACTTTCACGACAAGATGAGACTCGTCGACAACGCACCCCTCCTTGGGGCTCTACTTCTCGCTCGTCTCGGGGATGCCAAGCAGTGTTACCGTTTGCCAAGTGATGCTGATTGGCCATCCACTGAGGCATGGTCGACCTTGAACTCGACTGTAAACGGGAAGCTTGTGGCTACTGTTCCTATCGGGTCGCCTTGTCACGATCCGACATACGATGCCGATGCTTGCGACGCATTGAAGGCAGAATGGCTGAACCCTCTAACGCAGTAAGTGCAAGAGCTCCGTTCACATGCTTGGACAGAACTCTAAAACTCTTGGCAGCACCCCGTCCTCCCACTCTATCATGCAATCGTACTTCGCCAACCAGAGCTGCGATCCATTCTCCGATAGGAGCATCCCTTGCACTCTTGGCAACTATGTTTCATACTCTGTCAAAGCCACTAAAGCAGAGGATGTCATCTCTGCCCTGGAGTTTGCGAAAGCTAAGAACATCCGTGTTCTCGTTCGCAACACTGGGCATGATTTCTTGGGACGGTCTACCGGAGCTGGTGCTCTTGCCATCTGGACGCAAAGTCTGAAGAGCATCACCTTCGGTGACTGGTCGGATAAGCACTACACTGGCCCATCGGTTACTGTTGGTGCCGGTGTCATGGGCAACGAGTTGCTTGAGGCAGTAAACAAGCAGGGCATGACCGTCGTGTCTGGTGAATGTGCTACAGTTGGTCTGGCGGGTGGTTTCACTCAAGGTGGCGGCCACAGCGTTCTCAGCACTGCCTTCGGCCTTGGTGCGGACCAGGCCTTGTCTTATGAGGTGAGAAGCTCTATTCTATAAGCAACCAAGAGCAACACTAACCATGTCTTTGTAGGTCGTCACTGCTCAAGGCAAGATGCTCACTGCCTCAGCAACCGAGAACACTGACTTGTACTGGGCTCTCAGTGGCGGTGGTGGTGGAACATATGCCGTCGTCCTCTCGTTGACAGTAAAAGCATACCCAGCCAAGCAGGTTGGTGGTGCTGCCATGCAACTCCTAGCGTCATCTACCACCCCCGAGAAATACGCAGCAGCAACTGCCAAGCTTATCGAGCTCCTACCAGGCATGATCGATGCCGGTGCCATGGTAGTCTTCCTGGTCAGCACTCAGTACATCGTTATCAAGCCCGTCACAGTTTGGGACTCAACAGCGGCCTACGTCAAGGACGTTGTACTCGCACCTTACGCCAAAGCTCTTACAGATCTTGGCATTACGCCCCCAATTGTCTACAGCGAGCTGTCCTACCGCGACCACTTCGATCGCTACATGGGTCCTCTCCCACGTGGAGCATATGAAGTCAACAGATATCAATTCGGTGGCCGTCTTATCCCCCGAGATGTGGTGGAGAATAACACTGCGGAACTCGTCAGGGTTTACCAGGAGCTTGCTGCCGAAGGTGTCTTGCTTGCTGGTAGCTCAGCTAACTACCAGAAGCCTGAGGGAGCCGCCGACAATGGTGTTCTACCAGCATGGAGGAATGCTATGATTCAGCTGCAGCTTATTACCAACTGGGACTCCACTGCTCCTTGGGCCGACATGGAGGCTGCCCAGCAGAAGATGACCAATGTGCTTATGCCCAAGATCGAAAAGATCACGCCGGGCAGTGGCTCATACCTGAATGAGGCCGATTTCCAGCAGCCGAACTGGCAGAGCACATTTTTTGGAGACAACTACAACAAGCTGAAGACTATCAAGAAGAAGTACGACCCCCAGGATGTATTCTACATCCTCAAGGGTGTTGGTAGCGAGGCTTGGAACGTTAGCAAAGATGGACGCATGTGCCGTGCCTAGAAAGAAGGCGTAGCTTTACAATATTCTTGTGTATATAATATATTACCTTGAACTTCTTTTAACTAAAGAATGTATATAGGCTCACAATAGATTTCGCCAAATATCTTTAGATTCTGCCAAGCCGAGCCATTATCAACAACTGGAGCGACCAACTCAATTTAGAAGTTTCGATGCATCGCTCATTTTATCGCCCATTATTTGACCTTAGCATTGCGCAAAATTCAGATGTGGCGTGGGTGAATTAATGAGGCAGCAGTCAAGAACCCCAAGCTCGTTGTGCGTCCGTGCACGGTCAAGCTGCCTGGAACTCTCGAATGAGGCCGCGAAAGTTCCCTCACCACACATTCATCGCCTTAGCCCTTGAGCGCTCACTCCACATCATTCCGTATGCAAAGTCTGCCTGGATAGTCTGTACTCTTGCTATATATGTGTGGATCTAGCCAGGCTGCATACATGGATTTCCGAGCTAAATATCAAGTCCGGCCGACGGCTGCCTGCGGTCAGCCCGATATAGGTATCTCAAGTACGGACTAGAAAGCACATAACTTCAAGCACCGCTCAAGGACTCCTGAAGATCCGATTCACATCTCAATTTCTTTTTCATTGATCTTAATTCAATCACCCCTTCCCTTTCCATCCGCACTCTGATCGAATCCTCTAACTCTCAAACCAGGAGGTGACGGAAAATTCCAACATCACGGGTGGATAATTCTCCCCTAATTCGTTTGCTGTATTCTCACGTGAATCAGTCACCGACTGTGTCTCCACGTGTGGGCAAGCGCGCAAGGATCTCTTTGACACCGCGTCCTAAGCTAAGGAGTAGGACCTTACTCTATGAACACTCACTCCTCACACTCTATCTTTACAGTGAATATCCCGAGCTAGCACTAGCTGCCTCAAGACCGCCAATTATCTTCTTCCTACATAACTCCCACACGTCTGTGCTTCTACATCGGTACCGAGCTTGATCTACCGAACATTCAACTCACTCACAGTCTTACAAAAGACAATCTCTTCTCTTGCTATCCGTTTTAATCACTGGAAATACACGCCTTCCAATCTGAATAACAGCCACCATGTCTAAGAGCTGTGTAATCTGCGGGACTGAGGAGAGCGAAGGCGAGCTGCTTCTCGAAGCACCCTGCGGTCGCCATTGGGTCTGCCCTGACGATGTCGGAAGCTTTTTTGAGAATGCGACCAACAACGAGAGCCTTTTCCCGCCACAGTGCTGCGAAACAATGTTCATGCTGGAAGATTACGAGGACTATATATCGTTCGAGATTGCGTGGGCGTATCAGATGAAGCAGCAGGGCGAGTATTCAATTCTGGCAAAGTAAGTTTACTACATACCTACGTGATAAATCCAGGCTAAGAACTAAGCAGATTTCGTGTCTATTGCGCAAACCCAGCCTGCGGAAAGTTCTTACACCCCGAATCGCACGTGGAGGACCAAGAGACCAAGATTACCTACGCCATCTGCGATTCTGAAGAATGCGGTAAGCTGACTTGCGCAAAATGCAAAGCCTTGCTCGTAGACGGTACCCAAAACCATGAGTGCAAACAAACCGAGGACGAGAAAAAGTTCAGGCAGACAGCCAATGAGAAAGGTTATCAAGAGTGCTTTGTATGTGGCGCGACTGTAGAGTTGGCTGAGGCATGCAATCACATCACTTGTGAGTGCGGTAGCTCGTTCTGCTATATCTGCGGCAAGGATTGGCCCGGTCTCCACGGCTGCCCGCACTACGGTCCCGCCGTCTACGATGAAGAAGGATACAACCAGGACGGTTACCATCGAGAAAGTGGTCTCAACCGACAGGGTCTTACTCGCCGTCAAGATATGATTCGTCGTCGTGAAGAAGACGAGGAAGACGACGATGAAGAAGGCGAAGACGAAGATAATGAGGATGAAGATCCTGAGTGGGAAGTCCTGCAACATCTGACACCCGACCAGCGCGCTTTGGTCAACCAGCTTCCTCACGGGCCTCGCGAAGACGCTCTAGATCAGTTCCGCATCACGTTGTTCGAAACCCAAGGTATCACGTTCGACCAGTTTGCCCACCCTCCTCCACCTCCACTACAGGAAGACTTTGGCGATGATGGTGACGCTTGGGAGGACAATGATGATGAAGGCTCCGAAAATGACCAGCGCGACGATCGGGAACTCACAGGCGGCCGGCCTAATGAAATCGATGGGGAGGTACCTATCATTGCTAATGAAGCAGCTCAGATTGGTACGATAGATGGTGCTGAAATCGACGACGGTGCAGTGCCTGTGGTCTACCATTCCGACGATGAGAGCCACGCCAACTTTTTGGAAAATCAACAAGGCGATCATGCAGACATCAAAGAAGAAGGCATTCAGGAAACTACACTGACAGACGACCAATCTGGAGTTTCCGGCTTCGATACTGCTACCCCATCAGCACATCGCAACGGCGAGAGAACAGATCAACGTGCAGAACCCGTACTGGCAGCGAATTCTTTCAGCCAGGACCAGCAGGTACCTGGCAGCCGTACAGTCCCGTTGATCACAGGCATCGATACCGATACCCGCCGACAGCCCGCTAGCTTCTCCACAGACGGACCACACACAATTGTCGCTCGTGGTTTCATCTCTGGCACCACGATTGAGGACGTAGAAACCATCATGCGCCCTCACAGCGATCATGACATACTCGGAAGGACTGTTCGGAGCAGCGATCCGCTGGTTGTCGAACTGCAATTTGCTATGAAGGATGATGCGGAAAGGGTCATTGCCGCGTTCCATGCACAGAAAGGGGACGGTCAGGTGTTGGATGTGAGGTTTGAAGATGAAGATCTGTAGAAGTACTGCGAATATAGGTCATAGCGTTTAAAGATGATTTATTCGTTCGACTTGGAATATCTGTTGTGGAGGTCAAGACTCGCCCTCTATGGCGGTCTGCCACGAAGTGTTTCTATAATATTTGATGATTTTCGATTGCTGTAGCTAGATTCTGCTAGCAAAAATAAATGCATAGATCGTCATTGCCACATTGTGAGAGTGACACTATTATCACTGGTGTCTCCTTGACGATCAGGCGTAACATCGCCAAGTAGTCAATGCTCTCCTCCTTCTTCGACGTCGCCGTCACTTGACGAAAGTGTTCACAGGCAACCTGTAAATGTCGATTGTCCAGTATGGCCTCCTGGTCCCTTCCCACTGATCACTTCCATGCAGACCAGATGGTACGTTGATCTCCTCCCATTCGGTATCGAAACCCGCCTCGTAGAGGTCCATCTCAGCAACCTGTCCTAACGTTAGAACAGTTCCCATCGAATATCCAACTGCGAAGCGACATACCTTTGTGTAAACGTCATAGCAAATCTGGCGATCAGCACCTAGTCCATTGTACCAACCAAACTTGCCATCCTTGGCCAGCAGCGCAACCACATATTCGGCGAAGAACTCCTTGAGCGCCTTGTAATCCTCAGCAAAAGTGTCGTAATAGATGGCATCTAGCACGACGCCCTGCTCTACCAGCTTAGGCAAGATATCTTGCCACCGGCCCTCGTGAATCTTGACATTGGGCTTGTCGTACCAGCCTTGCTCACGGAGACGCTGGTGTACCTGTGGATGCGCCTCGATGATGTGGTGCTCTGCAGGATCGTGCGTAAGAATAGCAGTATCCACGATACCCATTCCGTGGCCTACATTCATAGTACGGAGACCCTTCTTAGGGATCAGAGTCTCGGCATGGCGTTGCATAATTTGCGTTTCCCAGTCCATCATAACAGCGTTGTCGGATTCGTCAAGGAGAATGCCGGGTTTGTAGCGGAGTTGACTTCTAAGGTAGGCCTTGTTGTCAAGAGAGACATCGTCAAGAACCTTTTCCTCGACAACCTGTTCGATGGCTTTGGCGTCTTCTTCCGAGACCTTTTGCTTCTTGGCGGCAGGTTGCTCTGTGTCTTCTTCCTCATCGGCTTCTTCTTCTACATCATTGTCGCCCATGCCGAGCGCTTCTAGTCGAGCGAAGAGGATTTCAGCACGTACACCGGCTTCAACCATCATCTCGTAGATCTTCTTTTGGCCCAAGCGGAGAGCGATGCATCCTGGTGTCTCGTCCTCTTTGTTGAGATCATTCCAGATGGCGCCATTTTGAAGAAGTGTTTCTACCGTTTGAACCGCGGCATCACTGGCTTCTTTCCCATCCTCGGCCTTGCCACAAGCTGCAATTGCTGCGTGAAGTGGTGATGTTGATACTGTTGCTGTGGGGTCTTGCACGTTTGCCGATCCGTCCTTGAGCAGAATGTTCAACGCTGGCACATCGTGACGCTCCGCCGCCGAAATGATGCGCTTGGCGAGGAGGATATCTTCTTCTGTTGCTTGTTCAGTCATCTTGAAATGTGATTGAGTTGTTGTTGACATGTGTCGCAGAAACGACTGTGGGGTTGCGTAACTTTTTCTGCAGGGTTCACGATAAGATAAGCGAGTGCTAGTGCTTCACTGCAGCTACCTGATCGGGCATAGAGGGACATCTTGCGCAGCAAAAGGGAAAGACAGCAGATTAGAGAGTGATAGAAGGCGAAGAGTTCATTACTGATGACAATGACCTCACCACGTAAGAATACCTACTGCGTCACATCGTACTCTTTTATTGATGGTCTAACCAACTCGATTCCCACCATAAGATGCTACAGGCCAACACAACACAGCGAGAAACTCCTTTTCATGAGTCTATAGAGATAGACGTATGCGATTCAATCACCACCATTCCAAACACCTTGCTCCCATGCCATGCAAGCTATTCAAACTCTGGTCGTATCCAGCCGAAGGTGTCTTTGTCCGTCCTGGCAAGCCACTGGTATAGATAGTGACGCGAAACTGTCGATGCCGAAGCAAGATGCACAACAAAACCCTGCGCAGGATGTCCCTATGCAAAGCAGATGTATATATAGACATTAGAAGCGAATTAAAGGGCGATCGACGCGACAGAATAAATCTGATCCCCAACGGGAGGCGGCGCCTGCGTGCTATGTGCAAGTCAACCCGACGCCTTGGATGCAGTATAAGCCCACTATTGGGCTTACTTCATCATCTGTGAGATGTTGTTCCATTTTTGCTTGAGTGCTTCGTGCTCTTCGTTAATCTGAAGGGTTGGTTAGCCGTGCTCAACATAAGACCAACCGGGAGACTGGAACTTACTGTAGCCCATTGCATCTTGACATCAACCAATTCTTTCTCCATCTCGGCCATCGAGTCTTCCAGATTGCGGTTCTCGTTGTGAACAACGATGTTCTTTTGCATGACAGTCTCCATTTCGTTCTTCAGTCTTGCTTCGACCTCTGCGGGTTGGGTGTCGACGATCTTCTGAAGCTCTTCGACCTTTGTCTTCAACGTCTCGTTCTCGTCAGCGAGATTCTCATTTTCGACCTTGGTTTTAATGAGTTCAGAAGCGACCTGAACGTGCTCCATATCCGACTGCTCAGCGCGATGCTCCAATGATCGGACCTTCTGTTCCAGATGTGTGACTTTATCTTTCAGTCCGTGGAGCTCGGTCTCGCGATCCTTTTCTATGCGCTGCTGTTCTTTCCACTCTGCAGTGTACTGCTTGAGCATTTCTGGCGTGATCTTGACAGAAACGGCGTCTTTCACAAGAGTATCAGCACGATAGATCTCCTTGTCGATGCCAGCAGTCGAGCCAAAGAAGCCATTCTCAAGGATGGAATTAGCCGATGGAGCTTTGTCGATGTACACGTCAAACAATCGCTCCTTGAGGAATGTTGTCAGTGTCGACATGTCCTTCATACCCAGCAATGTTTCAGCGTTCTTTTGCATGAGCACAATACCGAACTTCAGGATCGCAGATTCAAGACCCTCGCTGAGTATGAGATCATAAATACGCAAGACGAGTTGTAGCGGGAACCGATATGCGAACAATGTAAGGAACCATTGAGTGGCGTAGAGTTGTGGCTTGACCTCTCTCCGGCGGAGGTGGCAGTAGAGAGCGGGTTCAAACTCTTCCAATAGGCGTTCAAACTGGTACAGATGCAGGTGAAGTCCAGCCATGTCGGCTACGAAAAGGTCGCGAAGGCCATACTTGTTCATCAGTGTCACAAAGAGACTAAACGCCTCTTCCTCGGGCATCTGCCAAAGTTAGTTACAGACGATGAGTATCAGGAAGATGGAAACTTACGTTGAAGAGCAGAGGCATAGCGATGAAGTTCATGCCTTGGGCGTAACCGACAGCATCGTCGTACAAAGCGTATGCTTTGCAGATACCGAAAAGACCGTCTTGTAGCCCAGCTGCCATGACGTACTTGGAGTAGCTCGTGCGCGCTCCCAGATCGCGCTTGATGACCTTCTCCAGTTTCGATATTGTGGCGGCGTTCTGTTTCTTTTCTGCCGCAAGCCTTGCTTGTGCCTTGATTGGATCTTCGTTTTCCGATGTGAGAGATGGCGAGCCCAATGGCGCGGTGGTACTAGCAGCTGTTGTGGCCGGACTCGAGTAGTCGGAGTGCACTGAAGACGAAGACGAAGCGACTGATTCCTTTCCGTTGCCAGTAGTGTTTCCCATGCTGAGGGTGCTCGTTCTGGCGCTGGCGCTGACGCTCATGTACTCTTTGTCTGTTCCACGAGCTACGAGTTCCCTGTACATGTTTTCCAGTTCTTCGCTTTTACTTTGCGCCAACACTTGCCAGATGACACCACGAATGACTTGAGGGATGCCACTTGCGATGGCGCGGTTCAATTCTTCGGAACTGGTGCGTGCAATTGCTGCTGGGCCTTCGTTGACCACTGACTGCCAAAGGTCCCAATCTACAGGCTCGGCAATGTCTCCCGCCGGACCAGCGGCGAATCCAGATGCTGTTCCTGGAGCCAACTTCGGGTTGATCGTAGGCTGTTTCACAAGAGCTGGAGGACTTCCTGGCTCTTCTCCAGATGTGGGCGGAGGGCTAGCAATGCCGAGCCCGATACCTGGCGATGCTAGCGCCACGGTTGGACTACCATCTATACCTGTCTCATCGCTGAGTGTTATGCCCGCTTCTTCCCTCATTCGCAGAATCTTGAAACGGTCTCGCAGGCTGCCCTGACTTGTTCTGTTTTTAGAGCCCATATCGCCCTCATCTTCGATCCTGCTCAAGGTGAGCTCTGGATTACTGCCGATAGTTGCAATAGAAGCCCCAGTATTCCGTCGCTCCGCAGTTGTCGTAGCCGCCGGTGGAGATTCAGGTTTCTTGCTAGAGCTGTTTCTTGACAGCCAAGCAAAAGGACCTGTGAGTTTTCTAGTCGTTGTTGGTGCTGGCGCTGGCGCGGGTTTCTCTTGTACAGCAGGTGGGGCGGGCGGCGGAGGGAATTTGACGGGCGACATTCTACCAGAGAGGCCTTGTAGTCCGCTCGCGGAATTTGTAGAATCTCGAGAATCTCGTGGTGGTAGCTTGGGGAGTATGCCGGCAGCTTTTGAGCCCTCTGTTAAGCGTCAGCTTCAGTTTTGCGATCAACATGCATTCACGCATGCAGACGCGTATGTAGGTGGGGCCAGTGAATGGGTGCAGATGGCTCCTGCTCTGGAAGCATGAACCAGCCTACACGCGCACATCGCATAGTTCTCCTTCCAAGCCCAGTAGGTGTACTCACCGCTGTCTAAAGACACGTCGTCCATGTCCGATGTGACTGACACTCTGTGCCCGGTAAGGAGTGGTGACTTGGCTGCCGGTGTGTCTTCGCTAGGCTTCTCGACAGCCTTTGGCTCAGGCTCATTGTCCGACTCGTCGCTTTCCTCTTCATCGTCTTCTTCCTCCTCGTCATCGTCATCGTCGTCATCATCGTCGTCGTCGCTCTCCTCTTTGGGTACTTTTGGCACTGCAGGAGCAGGCTCCGCTGGTTTGGCTGCTTGCACTGTTGAAGTCGAAGATTCTCGTTGTAGGAGGGACCGTGACCGTGACTGTGATCGTTCGGACTGTGAGTCTGGGCGAGGGGTAATCTCAGCTGCTTCTTCGAAACTGTCCTACACCGCCGCATACATATTAGCAAACTTGCACCGCAATGGCTGCCTGCATTTCCCACGGAACATGGGTATGGCTTACACTATCAGAGCCAGAACTGCCTGAGCTCGTGGGTCTTTCTGGTTTGTCCGCCATGTTTGCAAGGGTTGGCGGTGTAGGCTACTGAGGGTCGCGGGACGGTATCTTGAAAGGCAGGAGCAGTCGACGCGACGCGGGTTTTAGTCTGGGCAGGTGTACAAAATAGAGATTAAAAAGTAGTATCGTGCGGGTGTCAAGGAAGCAGTCGGGGGCGCAGCGGTGGTTGTTGGAGGTGATGGGGAATTAGGAGCGGGACAGCGACGTGGGTTGGTGAATTAGAGAAGTGGAGCACGACCCTGGCTGCGGCCTTGAACATCGGGGAAGCCACTGAGGAGCCCACAACGACACGTCCTACTTTGGACCCCCGCCCATGACCAGCAATTGGCCGGCATTGACGCTGAAGTCCGTAGCATCGCGGATGCTGATACTGCGCATGACGTCTGCATGCTGGTCGTGCGTATGCAGCCGCAAATTCCAGGCCAGCTGTTCACTTGCCCGCCATGGTTGCACAAACAGCCCACCATGGCCTGCAAAACATAAGGTTAATCTGAAACACGCACTAAGCCCGCCACTTGCTGGTCTTCCGCCCGCGCTGCGAATCCAGGCTTACATCGCCTATCACACCCCATCACCATTCGGCACTACTTTCGGTATCCGAGGCGATCGTCTTCGACTTCAAAAACAACAAAGACTTGGTTTGGGAAGTGGTCTTCAGGAGCCGCCAGGCCTACCGTCATTGTACAAGAAGCAAGGGATGCGCGACTTCTTTGTTCCTTCCTATTCAGCCAACAGTCAGACAAGCTCCTTCCTTCTGGGCAACGGCTGAGGGTCGGTTGCGTCATCTTCTTCCAGCGTCAGCATGAACGGGCGGGAAAAAGCAGATGCAGTCATGCGACTTGTAACGCAGGGGAGCTTGTTTGAACAAAAGTAATATGGACTAGAATTGCAAAGTCAAGGTATATACATGAACATCAAGAAGGTATCCCCAATCATAGTCTTCGAAATCTCTCCGCCATTATCCTCCAGTCATCCCCTTTCAAGAGCTGCATCTAGTTGTTGAGGCACTGAGAGTAGAAGTCGTTTTGTACGACGCACTTGGCAGTGCCCTCGCAGGTGGTAGGGCCGGTGTATCCAGCACCACCACACTGGTAGTAGAGCTTAGCAACGCCAGCAGTTCCGGAGGGAACAGCACCGGTAGGGGCGGCGATGCCAGATGAAGGGCGGAGGAGAGTGGCGAAGGTGGTAGGGGCAACAGGAGAAGCGCTGGGGATGGTAGCGTTCATCGAGGGGCGGGCGGGGGCGAGGGTAGGGAGAGCGGCGGAGCTGGTCTCGGCAACAGCAGCGACAGAGGAGACAGCGGCGAGGGTAGAGGTGGGCGCAGCGGCAGCAGAGGTAGGAGCTGCGACGGTCGAGTTGGCAGCAGGGGAAGATGGCTTAGCAGCACCGGCACCACCGCATGAAGCGACAGGGCCACCAGGAGCCTTGTAGGTGGTCACGTCGAAGCCGTTGTAGACGTTGGGGATGTAGATGTTGTCGTCCTCAGCCTTGTAGGCACCGGGAAGCTCAATGGTAGGTCCGCAAGCACCCTCCTTACCGGTACCAGTAATCTTGAGCTGCGCACAGGCAATGTAGAACTGCGCACCACCGACAGTCTGAGCGCCGTGAAGGGCCAACATCTCTGAACGGAGCAGGTACTCGCCGCTGGCAAGACCGGTAGGGAGAGCAAACTCGCGGGTCATGTTGTTGGCGCCCATGATCTCGTTCGCCCACTTTCCGTCAACGTTGTCAAGCTCGTCAATCTTGAACCATCCGGCACCGATACCAGTGGCCTGGGAAGCATCGTCAACGGGTCCGTAAAGCATGTGGGTGATGGGACCTGGGTGGCCGGACTGGTCCCACTGAACCTTGATGGTGTCACCCTCGTTGGCAGCAACGGTCTCAACACCGGAGGGGACCTTGGCACCATTGACGTTGCAGACAATGTCGTCGCTGGTTACGTCGGTGACGGGGCTGTTGGAAGGTGGCATCCGGATGCCGACCTGGTAACCAGGAGTAACATCGTTGACCCAGAGCTGATGCATGTTCTGGTGAGCCGAGACGGCGGAAAGGAGAGCGCTGGTGAAAATGGCCTTGGTGAACATCTTGAAGTTTGAAAGTGTTATGTTGGTGTGATATGTACAATGACTTGATTTGCAAAGGTATGCTAGTGATGCCTGATCACGAAAAATGAATGTAAGGTAAAGAGTGAAGGTGGTAGTAAAAACCGGAACGAATGTGTTCAAAGAAAGGACTGGCCCGTTGGAATGATGAAGTGTACATGGCAAGGACAACCGCACCTTATAAACTCATCCCATGCCGATCTTTTGCTTGACTTACGCGCCTGGAACAAGATTAATGGTTTCCGGAGATCAGGACGAACCGACTGGAATCCTCCTTGACAGCCGTTCACGCTATCCCAGTCGCTGGGAACGGTACGACATCGTCTTTACAGATGCCAAGGAGCGACACGCCAGCAATAAATCTAGATGAAGGACTAGTTTGCTCTTCTTAGGTATGGTCCGCGATGCTTGTTTATGCGACAGGTGCCATCCGAGATTGGGTGGACATGTTGGTGGAGAAATCAGGAAGCGAGCGTTTCCAAAGTGGCTGCTTTGGGTTAGCTATGCCGTTTCGTATGTGCACCCGCATGTTTCAAAACGTCTCTGGAAGCGGTTCGCTGGGAGCACGATCCTGCAGCGAGTCACTTCGAACTTCAAAAATTCGGTGTTGTCTCTTCCGAGCCTCGTAGATGTACTTGGAAGGCTTTTCAATATCCGGAAAAATTGGACAAGGCGACCCGGATGTGGAAGATGATAATTTGAGAACGGAGTCGAACGACATATGCTAGAAAAGGCGTATGAACCACGCGAACGGCTGATATTGCAAAACAAATCTATAATCTGCTGCCTTTTATGAGGCTGCACTCCATGACGCGCTGTCTCAGCGCCTGAAGTGGGGCGGCTTCAATGGGCGTAAAAGTCTTCCTCATGGTCCTCTTCTCGTAATGGTTGCAAAACCCGTAGGCGCTGGCACAGTGCGTCTTTCGCTTGACGTAGAAAGTCTGTCCATGCCCTTGCTCATGTCAGGCAGTGTTTGGCCTATCGGTTCCGTTGGGATCGGAGATTTTGTAGTAAGGGTGACATTACTCGTGGGTAAGGCAACGGTGTTTGTGGATATAGAGAGGCTTCCCTGAGGGGCTTCTCCGTCCATGAAGAGATGAATCTCCAGCACTGTAGGAGCCGGCGATGTGGTGTGAACGATGGATAAGAACCAGGCGCCAAGCAAGATTGAGGTGAACCATATCGTTACGAGAAAGAAGACAGCAAATAGTATACACGGCACAAGAATGCATTTCCGAGGCATTCGACTTCGTGCGGGAAGTGTGGTTGGGAAGCCTGGTCTAGCAGATCGTGCAAAGTGGGGATGGTTTGTGTCCTGGTAATCGGGCTTGACACGAGCTTCTTCCGCATTCTTTGACGATGGTCTGGTGCTTGAGTGACGGATCGAGGATGGCGACTCAGGCGTGGTGGGTTGGTAGTAGGGGTTATTTGATGTGCCGCATTGTGATGTCCCAGCAAGAGTGTCGTGTTGAGGAGTGAAAGGAATGACATGCGAAAGGAATGTAGAGCTATACGACGGAGCCGGTGAAAGCATGTCCTTCAGCGGAATTGACGACATGTCTACTGACGGTGCTCGCTTCTGAGCATCCATGGCAAAGGCAGATGACTCGATAATGTGTAAAGATGGTGAGAAAAAGGATCAGCCTCTCGATGCTTGTTACAAAGAATTGACGTGGAATTTGAGGGTATCAGCATTTCCTTTATGCAGATGAGAAAGACAGAGGCAATGCACATAGTGGAGCAGCGTGGCGGCCACGAACGAAGAGCTAGTTGTATCAACCTAAAGGAGTGATATGCAGATGTTTCATCGCTTTTGTTAGCTTGCGCGTTGTTTCTACTGCTAGGTAGAGCATTTTGATGAATGCAGTGGTGGTGAGAAGTAGCTTGGGAATCTGACGGGTTTGTGAAGCGCGGCCTTGTTGACGGACGATTGGGTCCGGCGCTTTCCTCGCGTGCAGGGTCTGGCCGCAGTGCCTTGCTGGCCGCACTGAGGGCAGGCTCAACAACTACAGGCATACTCAAAGGATATGAGAACTGCATGATTTATAGGCTCTCCAGACGTTCACTGTTATCCACGTATGTAAGATGTGCGCAAAGTGCGCCGTGTCTAGGCCTGCTTGAGGGTATCATACCACAACTCCAAAACTCCCAATGCATCAATAGTTCATATAAGCCCCGGGCTCAATCTTGCAGCATTCTCAAGCTTTCGCCTTGCCTTTTCCAGTTCCCGCAGGTCTTCCTCGCTTCTTCCCTGCTGTGGGTGCTGCTGGCTGTGCGCGAGCTGCTGGCTGACCGTCAGCCCGCCTGCCCTCAGCTGCTCTGATGTCCTCGAGCTCCCTCTCTAGCAGGCCTTGTAATTGCTCATTACGTCTTCCGAGGAGCAACACGTCGTCAGGGTTAATTGTGTTGCGACCGGCGTGCTTGGAGAAGACCTCGAGATCGCGGGCTGTGTTTGCTGGGTAACGTTAGCATTTTCGGGCTAAATGACATGTCAAGAGGCGGATCGATCTTACCGATTTGAGTGTATACAAGCTCAGTTAGGGCACCGATAAACTGTGGCGTTGCATTGAGATCGTTCTCCAACGACTTCTCGTCAACAAACTGGCCGATGGAGTACCACAGGGCTGACTTGAGTCGCTGTGGGTGTTGTCAGCACATGCTTATTGACAGCCTGGCACATGGGCTTCTGACCTCTTCGCGCTCTGCTTTGGCACCATCATCTGACGCCATGTCGCTCAATAAGTGCAGTCAGTCGCGTGTAGGCGTCAACTGGAGAAGTGACGCGACCAGACGCGTCTAGGGCGGGCCGATAGCGGGGCCTCGGTGATGAACGGGAAGGAAGTCACCGCCCAGGTTCTGCCACGCGACGGTCCACGCTTTGAGTGATTTATTATTGTTGCGCGCAATTACTTTCTTCACCGGCATCGCCTTCCACGCGCAAATACACACAAACACACCTACACACACACAATACTCGACATAGACGTTAGAAGCCTCTCCGACCACAGTTCCCACAAGCTCATAATCGCATCACCACAGGCACTCTACGATCGCAATCACCCACATCGCATACTCAAGATGGACTACATACTCGACAACGTGGGCGAGTGGAAGGACCGCCTGGTCAACAACTCCATCAAGTCCTTCGAAGAGATGACGGCTCAGCGTTGGGTCCGCATTATCGCTATCGTCGGCGCATACCTCCTCATACGGCCATACCTACTCAACGCCGCTGCCAAGAAGCAGAAACAACAGCTAGAGAAGGAAGCTGAAGATCTGGGCCTGGGCAAGAGCGAAGCACTAGACGCGAACGACTTCAGGGGTAGCGGCGTTCGGGTGAAGAAGGGAGAAGCGAAGAAGAAGGAGTAGTGGCTGCGTACGAGAAACGAACACGTGTGACATAGGAGATGGTAATACGATTGAATTTTGGACAAGAATAATGTTGGTGGAGAGTAATAGAAGGAGATGGCGGGCCATCTGGCGAGAGAATTTAGACATGCCGTTGCGCTACGCTTTCCTAAGGACCAGAGGCTCGACTCGGTGAAGGAATTCTTCTTCAAGAACGCGACTGGTGAGGGATTCTTCCCATACAGTATGGGTGAAGAGCTCAAGATACAATCGTAGTGCCCCCAAAGCATTTCATTCTGATACAAGCGAGAAGCTTGTGAACTAAGCCATTATATCCACAGCAAACTGTGAGCGCCACTAGCAAACCAGTGTTAACGTGGCAAAAGACAAGTAGAATAGTGTTGGTTCTTGTGAGTCTAGTGATAGCACCACAATCTTATGTTTGGTTTTATTGGTCCACATCTAGTATACAGTATGACATTGAGATACCCTACTAGCCTATCTGATTTGTATGTGCCTACTCAAGGTATGGTACCTGGAGCATGGTCCGTCCTTCTGTTGTGTTGTGGATGATGATACAAAACGGCTATATTCTATATGCCTAGGCACGCCATGACCTGTTTACTGATCGCTAGCAACATACGGATGAAAGGCTGTCGATCTGCGCCGAAAATGACCTCATAATGCAAGCGTTCAAAGTCTATGAGCCGCTAAGTGTCATACAATACGTGGATCTAGGAAAGAGGAACGCTTGTACTGAGCGATAACATGAGGAGATGGTTACTCGTGCGAAAGCGGGGAAACGGGAATACCGGTAGGCTGAAGTGGTATAAGTACAGACCAACACATCATGTCGACCCATCACGAGTACGTCCTGGTAACAACATTTAGTTTACTCTCGAATCTATCCTCCAAATCTAAACCTATCATATACTTTTCAGCTCGTTAATCTATACTTGAACGATGCCGCAATACATAATTCAACACCACTGTGAGCTCCAAACATCGCAGAAGGATGCCATCGCCATCGCCATCACAAAGCTGCACTGCCAAACATTCAATGCGCCCTCTATCTTCGTGAATGTTCATTTCCACCCTTCGCGACCTCACTACATCGCCGGCAAATTGCAAGAAACAAACTCTATCACTGGGATGCTGCGAACACGCGGACCAGAATACAGAGACAAGATGAATACGCTTGTGCTAGACCTCGCCGAAATATGGAACAAGGTGGTTAGGCCGAACTTCGCTAACGATAACGTTGATGGAAATGTGCCTGGACGATTGGATGACCCTACAGCGCTGCATCTTTGCGGTATCTCAGAGAGTATTGTTGCTGCCGCAGAGCAAGGATTCCTCCTACCTTCTGCAGGGCAAGACGACAAGTGGCTTGAGAAAAATTTGAAGGCTTTTGAGAAGAGGGCTGCAGATGGAGATGAAGCGATGAAAGCGCTTCTTGAAGAAATCAAGACGAAGGGTCTGGGAAGCGCTTCTTGAGGACACACAACGACATCACGAGGACACCATATCATCAAACCATCTCACAGTTGCTCGTTTCTGTCCGGTCATAGTTCTAATGCAATATATCACTGTAGTTCGCAATGCCTCCCACGATGCGACTCTCTTTTCCTACTGCAACAACAATGCAGAGTGATATAGACATTGTATATGCCGGACGGGTATCTAGACTCAATCGCGGAATCTGCGATTAAGGAGCTGTTCGCTCGTTGCATGTTCAACTCATAACCTTCACATATCCAGTGTGTTTGCGCACCCAACACCCCCTTCGACTATCTTCCACTCCACTAACTCAGCAGAACCGTCCGCTTGCTACTTGATCGCCTCGTGGCTTCTACATTCACAAACTGCCGCTTCACATCTCTTCTATACACAATCCAATTTACAACCCAACCACCATGTCTTCGCACACACATCTTGAGCCATTCCGATGCCAGCGGACGAAGGATACCGCAAGCAAGCTCAAGTAAAAGCACAAGATCTGATCCCTGTAAGCCACGAGAAGCCTGCATTAAAACTTGCTGTTGAGGCCGTGGTGGAAGGAATAAAATTGTATCGGAGCTACAAAGAGGAAAAGGAGGCTGGAGAAAAAAAGGAAAGGGGGAGAGAAAATCATAAAAGACATAGGAAGGACAGGCACATGGGAGAAAGTAGGAAATATGGGCATGGAGGTAGCCATGAATCGAGTGGTGAGCGCCGACATCGTCGTCATTGCTCTAAATCAAGACATGAAGAGCGTGGGAGACACCATCGTAGTCCACGAGATGATCGACATTCAAGATCACGACACAGACGCCGAGATGAAGAGCGTGGGAAGCACTACGAAAGATCCAGGTCTCAGGACCGACGCCCAAGATCCCGTCGACGATATGAGGACAATGGTGTTCTCGATCCCGTTGTCGAGAACTTGCCAAATGACAGTCTAGAGTATCAGACGACTGGCGGTGCCGGACTAGCAGAAACGTTGCTTCATGGGCATCGAAAGCCAGATACACTGTCGCCTAGAGGTGGAGAACGCCGGGGCAGTGTTGCGAGTGGCTACCAAACTTCATGGCGAGACTTGAAAGCAGAGCGAGAGAATGGCCTAGCATCTGGAAGTAGAGTTCCACCACCATATTCCTCAGCGCAAAGACCACCAGAAGGGCTTTCCTGGGTGCGATCTCATTCTCGTGGTCGCAGAGATACATCGCAGTCAGACCGGAAGAGGTCGCACACACCCCGCAGACCTCACCACAGAAAGTCCAGAGAGCGCTCAAGCTCTCATCGGCGTGATCTTGAACATAAAAAGCAGTCAGATATTCGTTCAGGCCGCGTTGGTGCGTCCTACTCTCTAACACGGCGACAAAGAGGACCAGACGGTACACCATTCGGAAGCTTACCTGAACGTAAAAGCAAAGATACTTTTGGAACCCATTTCATGAGCACTTATAGGCACATCAAAGCCGAGCATGAGGCTGGTTATCGAAGTAAAGGTAAGCTCGAGAAAGCGCTAGACGAGATGAGGAAGAAGAAGAGAGTCACAAAAGTCAGCAGTGATGCGCAAACGACTAGCCATAAGAGAGATAGGGAGAAGATACGAAAAAGTGAGCCAGAAAGAGTCAGGTGGGTTGAGAGATATCCTGAGAAACCCAGAGGCGATGAAGGGAAATCTAAGCCTGCTGAGACGGAGGCGTGGGAGCATCATCGGCGCGAAGAAGAGGAACACAAAAGAAGGAAAGATGATGATAGGAGGAGAGAAAAAGACGTTGACCAAACAAAGATTCGAAGTTTACCAGTCAAACCTCTCCAAAGTCATCAGATTCAACCGAAGCCCACGGTACCACGACAACCACAGTACCACAGTGACCAGACGACAGCCTCCGGTGAGACAAAGCCAAAGCCAAAGCTAAATTCAGAGCCGAATCCAAAACAATCTTACCGTAACCAAAGCGCAAGATCAAAGACTGTTGAACTACAAATCCCAGTAACTAATAGCCCCAAGCGCAACATTTCTACTCTACCACCAGTTCCGGAGATACGTCTCCAGCCTCCCACATCTGCTAGAGCTCCACGTCGTCAGCCGCATCCTGTTATCTACGAGTCATCACATCCCCCTACGAACCGTCCAGCTCCACCTGTTCCAGAACCATCTCATTGGCAACATTCACTTCCCCAACGGCCTCTGACCATCCGTGAGGAAACGCTTGAGCATGAGGTTTCATCACAACGAGAGCCGGCAGGTAGAGGTGTAGATGGTAAATCCGAGATTGGGTCAGCAGCGAGCTATTACGATCAAGCTCCACGTTCGCCGATGCCAGGAAGGTACGAAGAGGGCGACGAGACAGAATATGAAGAGGATGATCAACCAGAAAATTACAATGAAATGCCATACCCAGACACACCTTCATCACCTGTCATACCCCCATATTCGGATACGCTTCCTTCTGCAGTCGGGTCAGAGGATCCCTCAGTTTCGTCTTCACCAGTCATGTCCCATACACCACGAGCTGCATCGCCTTCCCCTCGATCCACGTCCGTATCCTTGCAGAGTATCCAGATGCCGACTCCTCAGCAATCGGTACCTCCCACTCCACCACTGCCATCACCACCACCTCCTCCCCCTCCTCATCCAGCCTCTCCACTACCTGCAGTGCGGCCACCCAACAATACTAGGATGGCTGCTCTGTTCTGTGAAATTAACGGGGGTAGGTTCGAATTGCGCAAAGTAGCGGACTCGGAAAAAAGACATCGTAATAACAACCCGACATCCGGCAGGGTAGTGTATGAAGAGACGGCACACAGTCACGATGTAGAGGAACGTGAGCGAGTTCAAGCTAGGGAAGCGAACAACCAATCTCCATCTCGAGGAAACAGTGCATGGAGCACTCGCATCTCTATGGACGACGAAGACGATATACAACCAGTACCCAATAGAGCGTTCCAAAACAACTTGGCGAAAGCTCTCCAGGCGAGGAGATCGGGCTCAGGTACTGACACTTCTACAAGGGGACCTCGAAGAGGTTCTGAGGATAGTTCACTAACTGCAGGCTCTAGAAGGTCGATGATTGCCAACGTTTCTGGGAAATTGCGAGACGATAGTACGTTGATGTATCCTTACGTGTGGTAGGCTCATACTAACGCGGTAGTAGATGCACTTGTTCAGCGGCTTTCCGAATCGGAAAGCGACGAGGATCTTATCTTTACTTTGGCGGCACATATTGCGCAGCCAGGTTGGAGCTTTGATGATCTGATGAAGGATTGACGGTGATGAAAGCGAAATGAGATGAAACAAGCTGAAATGCCCCGGTGCTGATATCAAATAGCACAGGCAATGTCTGTAAATAGTTGAATTTTCCTCTTCAAACGCGAGACGTGTCGTGCATCTGTGCAAGTGCATCTAGACTCGCGCGCGTCTACTTTACAACGCGTTGGTTGGCAGAGAAGTGAACGCGTGTACATCGGGCCTGCCAGAGTGAATGGTGTTTACGAACGGTTGGTCCAGGCTTCCCAATTTCGCGGCAGAGCTCTGGACCGCCAAGCTCGTGCAAAGGACACCCGGTTGTTAGTCTTCATCCCTATTCCTCGTATTATTAGCTGTCTCGACTTGGGAGCTTCCTTGCATTCTTCGCCGAGGGTTCAGTTTACACTTCTGCCACTCATTCACGATTGTTAGTGGTTGCCTCTGACGTTGAGCTGCATCCCCCACATTACTTCAACGTCGCCCCAATTGGACCCTGTGGCATCATCAGGCAGAAGAGCGCAAGCATACCGCCCGCAGCTTTCGCAGTTCAACACCACACCTTTCCCCACACACAACCACAATGCGCTTCTCATCAGGCATTCTTCTCGCTCTCCCAGCGCTTGCTGTCGCTGAGGAGCAGGTTCCTCTCCTCGACAAGGTGAAGGGCTTCTTCAACAAGGCGACTGCTGCCGTCTCCGCATCCATCCCCTCCATGCCATCGGCGCCCGTTGACACAGCAACAAGCAAGGCAGCATCCAATGCCGCCGCAGCAATCCAGTACCCGATCACCCTAGAGAACTGGAAGGAGGTCCTGACGGTTGATCCTACTGCCAGCCCTCCTACCACCCAGGATTGGCTTATCTTCACCACTGGTGGCAACACCACCTGCTTCGGTCTGTGTGGAAACGCAACCAAGGCATGGAACGTACGTGTAGCAGGCGAACATGTGGATGGCATACACTGACACCGACTCAGGCTTCTCTCCCCATCATGGCCGCAAAGACCAATGCGCCCAAGTTCGCTTACCTTGACTGCGAAGCCGAGCCCATTCTCTGCAACGCATGGTCCGTCGGCGCACCAGCGCTCTACTACTTCCAGGTTCCTAAGCCCATGGCCGACCAGTCTGCGCCCGTTCCTACCGTTCGCTACCAGCCTTTGAACCGCACAAGCACCACCACCGAGACCTTCAAGAAGCTGATCGTCGACAACGACATTGAGAAGGTCACCCCTTACGAGGGCCCCTTCCACCCCTTCAACGGTGCGCTCCAGCAGTACAACCTTGCCATTCCGTACGGATACGTTACCTGGGGATTCTCCAAGATGCCCTCGTGGATGCCTATGATCATCATCTCTTTCCTCAGCAGGTCTTTCATGTAAGTCAAACCACTCCATAGACAGAATCCACATACTGATCATATTGTAGGAGCAAGCGTATGGCGGGACCAACTCCCGCGGAGGCACGCGCGGCGAACGCACAACCCGCTCGGTAGATTAGCATACTCCGGCCTCGTGCTGACTAGAACATTTGAGAAGAAGAAGGGGAAGGTCGTCCACGGTTCTGTATCGCTCACACCAGAGCGATGCAACATATACGATCCTGTAATTGGATTTGTCCTGGAGTGGAATGTAGACGTCTTCAGAGAGTGAGATTGGAGATTTACATGTGTGTAAGACAGAATAATGTAGCTCAGATACCTTTGATGGCGTTCAATGCAATGCAATGCGTTCAGTCATATCATATTCCACCTTGACTGTTTCCAGAGTGAAGGGTCGAAAGACCTCATGGTCGGCCAGCAGCTGCCAAGATGCGACCGCGCTACCGGGCCATGCGCTAAGAATCTCTTGAACTCCGCAACCCCAATTCCACATCACATTATAGCAATCATGGTGCACATACTGAAGCGCATGCGCAAACTACACGAGGCAAGTAGTTGGTTTCCGAAAGCATTGTCTGCTTTCCGCGCATAGCTAACAACTATTACAGAAGGTACGTGCAACCGGCCACCCACAAGCACCTCCGAAAGTTTCGCTGGAGAAGTTGATCGCACCGGATCTGTTCTCAAGTTCGTGAAGAACACACGACGCTGACTGTACCGACAACAGTTATTATGGATACGATGTGGGCCAGGCGCACTTATATTGCCAAAAGAGGTGTCGAAGATCAGTATGGAGTTCAACACAAAGCTTTACGGAGGACATAGAGGGGCAAGGTACGCCTATATTTTTCTTCTATACTGGCTGCGAAGGAAGAGAGAAAAGCCGTGTTCCTGGCGGAGACCATCTTGTCAGGCTGGCGATAGTACTCGATGATAGAGTGTGCTCACTACGAACAGGAAATTCTGGCGCAATATGCTGCCCCGGATGAAATACCGTAACCCATCTATCCCGATCGAAATAGCACGACACAACGATCCCGACGGCCCCTCACTCCTTCACGTTCACACAAGCAAAACCCAACCCGCGACTGGCTCCACAAATTCGCCCACAGCCCAACAGTCAGACTCCTCACCACCGTCCGGCACGCCGAACCCACGCAATACTCTCGTGCCTGATACCTCGAAGCCCACATATACAATTGACATCAGAGATCAGTCAGAAAGCGAGATCTTGGAGGCACTAGTACAGAAGACGGGCGCGCAGCAGCTCGAGCCAACCGAACAAGAGCTGGCTGAGATGAAAGAGATCGAAGAGTTTAAGGAGCGGTCTGAGGCGGACAGAGTGCAGGTTAGGGAGAGGTTATTGAAGGAGCGGAGAGAGGCTGAGCTGCTCAAGTTGGCGAGGGGAGAGGTACCGGCTACAAACTAAGCGTGGTCTGTGTATGAGAAACATGTGGAAAGACTATATGGACTTTCACTAGTACTTGGACTATTATGCAGCGGCTTCGAAGCTGAGATTCTGTAACATATGTACATTGAATGACATGCATACGACATCAACACGAGACTACGTCTAGCGATCAAGTCTCTGTGCTCGTTTACAACTCGAACCAATAGTTTTCAATTCGCGATAACAGTCAGACCCGCATTTGCGTCTAACACTCTCTTGCAGACTAAGTGCATGCACATGACTTCGCGAACGATGCAGCTACTTGTAAACGCGTGAACGCGTTCGTCGCGCTTTCATAGCGACCCGTGTGCGAGGTGGTCAAGCATCAAAGGGCATGCATCTACCAGCGCAGTGAAGCCGCGCAGTTGCAATAACTGTCATTTGCACGAAAAGGCATGTAGCCGACTGGGTTAGTCCCAAGCATCAATGGCCGACGGCCTAGCAAAAGGGAAACGGAATCAGTCTGCCTGACAGACAACCATACACCGAGCTCAAACCCCGTGAAGGGTGAGCTCAGGCTGCCGGAAGCTGCCAAAGTTGTTCTCCGCCACCTGTCGTCCGAAACGCTCTACAAAAGAAAAAGAGTTCCATGGTGGACGAACTGTCAGAATCTCAACCATCACACCCCCCGAAGGACGTGGACGGGAGACGCTGACACAGGTCGTTGTGGTGAGAGAGATGGGTGAGGGCGACGAACTTTTTTTATGTCTCTCGGCTGATTGTCGGCACGCTAGCAAACTAGTGGCTTGGCGGAAAGATGGACGGAGGTGCGATGTTGCCCGCAGGTCGTGCACGAGTAGGCACCGAACACTGAACTTCACCTTTTGGGAAAGGCTAGACGTGCTTTCACTCTTCGCGACGACTGCTTCTTTGGGCTGCTCAAAGGCGCACTGAAACCCAGGGACTACCGGCGCCACCAGCTCTTATTCGAACTCACATCGTCTTCACGTTGCGACATCGACACCACAACCGCATCAATCATGGCGGATCTATCCATCGATGAGGCGAACAAGATTCGTCTGTCTATGGGTCTCTCCGCTCTTCCCGGTGGAAGTACCCCCGCTGCGCCCGCATCGTCATCAGGTCTCGATTTCAAGGCAGCGCAAAATGGCGACGACTCGGACGAAGAGCCTGCGAGCACTATCGAGACGCGTGAGGCTGCCGCTTCGGATAATTGGAAAAAGCTAGAAGAGGAGAGACTGGCTAAGATAAGACGCGAGGAGCGCGCCGCCGCCATCAAGAAGGAGCGCGAAAAGGCGGCGCGCTTTGCGAAGCTTGAGGGCAAGGGGCTGGCAGATGAAGCTGATGTCGACGACGACTTGGCATGGTTGAAGAGCAGCAAGAAGCGCCAGAAGAAGATCGCCAAGGAAGAACAGATGCGTAAGGAGCTTGAAGAGCGCGAGCGCCAGGCACTCGAGGCCATGCAGTATACCGATAAAGACCTTGCGGGTGTCAAAGTCGGACACGAGGTCGATCAGTTTGACGATGAGGACCAGATTCTTGTCCTCAAAGACACCGCAGTCGATGGAGAAGAAGATGACGAGCTAGAGGCGGTTTCGCTGAGAGAAAAGGAGCGACTACAAGAGCGACTCGATTCGAAAAAGCGGAAGCGCGCATACGATCCCAACGACATGGATGAATCAGGTCAAAAGTCGATACTGGCACAATACGACGAAGAGATTGAGGGCAAGAAGGGCAAGGCTTTCACACTGGACGGCAAGGGCAGAACTGTTGAAGACGTACAAGCAGAGGTTGCGGGTGCTTCAAAGCCAAAGAAGGTTGCTATCAGTCTAGACATACTCAAAGAAGATGCGCCTACCAACGACTACATGGATATTTCAGAAGTCAAGATGAAGAAGCCCAAGAAGAAGAAGAGCAAGAAGTCCAAGAGAGAACGCGTCGAAGACGAAGACGAACTAGCAGCTATGGCCACGGAAGAACCTGCAGCTGGCGACGACATGGATCTTGACGGCGGTGAAGTTTCAGCACCACAACAGAAGAAAAAGAAGGTCTTTGACGAGTCTTTCGTGGATGACGATGACCTTCAAGCAAATCTCGCAGCACAGCGGCAGAAAGCCCTCAAGAAGCGCAAGAAGATGCGACCAGAAGACCTTGCACGGCAAATGCGTGAGGAAGCATCTACACCTCAGCCAGACGTTATGGAGTCTACTGAAGACGGCGACGGTGCCCTTGTCATCGACGAAACGACCGAGTTCGTACAAAACCTAGGTGCCGCTGGAGACGCCGACGAAGAGGAGGCCCGCCGGAAGCGTAGGAAGTCAAGCCACATTTCGGAGGGCACCAAGTCTACGGGCGATATCCCCGTTGCTGATGAGGACGGCGATATCGACATGGGACAATCATACGCCGAAGCAGCCGAAGCGGAAGAGGCCCGCAACCGCAGCGTTTCTCGCGCTAGGTCCACTGAGATTACTGAGACGGGTCTTGAGGCTGAGAAGACTGTCGATCAAGGTCTGGGTGCCACACTTGCCCTGCTCAAGCAACGAGGCCTGGTCACACAGACCGACGCCGGAGACAAAAACGCCATGTACCGTGACCGCCAGAAGTTCCTTGCCGATAAGCTCAAGGCCGAAGCCGATGCAGAACGCCAACGTAAGATTGCTCGTGAACGCGAACGAGGCTCCGCTCGCTGGAACAACATGACCCCCCGCGAACGTGAAGAGTGGGCACGCAAGAACAACACAAGCGCCGACATGGTTGAGAGCCGCCGTCTTGCTGAGCTCTTTAACAAGGAGTACACACCCAATATCGAACTCAAATATGTCGATGAACACGGCCGACATATGAACCAGAAAGAAGCGTTCAAGCAGCTCAGTCACCAGTTCCACGGCAAAGGCAGCGGAAACACGAAGACGAAGAAGCAACTTGATAAAATTGCTGCTGAAAACAAGAGGATGGCTGAAAGTTCGCTCGAAGCTAGCCGGAGTGGAGGTGGTGGATTGGGCAATGCTTTCGATGACCAGGCGAAGAAGAAGGGTACTGCTGGTGTTCGTCTGCAGTAGACTCCAGGTGCTCAATTCCTCAAGGGCATATCCGTCGCCAACATTGCGAACGGCTATCGGCAGTTAATGCAAGGTTCCCCAAGGTGTGTCGCGGACATGAAAGGTCAGTAAGCTCCTGAAGCTGTACATTAGAAACTTTGTCATTAATGCAAATCTTTCAAATAGAACGTCCTCGACCGGCAGTGATGATGGTATGCTACCCCTTAGATGTGCAACTTACTGACATAGAGATACTAATTGGTCTGATCTTGTCGTTGACATATTTTTCTTCTTCCTATATGAGGGTACCGCACGTATCGGTACCTTCACCGCAAGGTAAAGTCTACGATTTGTAATTGTCACTGGTGTAAGTTTGTCTCTGCGAGACTATGGGCACACTAACATCTCGCGTTTCCTGCCATCTGAGGCACTGTAGCTACAGCTTTGACTTTGACAAAAGCCAAATTCCTATCAGCTAAACGCTATGGCAAGGGACATGCAAAGAAAAGACGTGTTTTCTATCATGATGTATGAACTCATTGGCACTACACTGCCATGCTCTTGGCATTGAGGCCCTACACCACATCTTCTAGTCTCTGAATTTAGGAACGACTAGAAATGTTTCGATAGCACAAGGAAGATAGGTGTGTTATTCATTGTTTTCTATTGACGGCGGCGGCCGGTCATGAGAATGATCGTTTCGTTTTCCTGCTACATGAAGTAAAGAACGGGCTTTACTCAAACTTGGTTTCCAACGTACCAAGTCATCAACGACATCTGCCAGAGACTTCATGTAATCAGGCATGATCAAAGGGTCGTCCATGCTTTCTCTGGTATCTGAGGCTAGCTGGAGTAAAGCAAAGAGTTTATCCCGAGGATCCGAAGCGCAAAAATGAGACGTAAATGTGAGTAGAAAGTCGATGTCCAAGGCCGAAAACCTTTTGTCCATGTCGATAAGCGCGTACCACGAGCGACATGCTTTGCCAACGGATAGAAGACCGTAACCCGGCAAGATCATCCTAGTATGCATTGTATCTTTCCAATGAATTGTACTGTCGCCGACCCTGAATCGGACCTTGCGTCCACCTTCCTCACTTCTCGGAGCCAAGAAGACCTCTTGTACAATCCATATGCGACTGTACCATGGTCTACTCAAAAGATTGTTGTGGCTGATCCATAGTGCCTTTTTATACCGGTCAGGCGAGGCCTCATCCTCTATTTCCTCGTTGAAATCGAGCGCGAATTGGATGAGTTCTTTGTCTTGTGCTACATCATCCCATAGCGAGTGGGGGCTCTGAAAAAAGATCCTCGTAAAGGTTGTCTGCTCTTTCGCCATCGAGACTGTTTATCAGAGGATGTAGGTGTGCCGTCCATAGTCTTAAGAGAAATCGACTGTATTTATCGGCCGGTCCTAGCCACACCAACACTGATTCAGCCAACGAGTAGATCTTTCCCATTAACTGAACTTGGTGCGTCTTTTCCCTCGCATCTTGTTGATTGATACACAAAGCGTCAATCCATGGATACTGTTTGGTGTCATCTCGCAAGGCCATCAACGCAGCATAGAGATTGCGCGTGATTCGAAATGGCGCGCTGATTGGTTCATCATGTGTGTCAAACGAAGTTGTCGATGGGCCATATAACAGGATCTCAATGGTATCTTCCATATCCCCCCAACAGTACGATAGCGCAACGTATGGTATACGAGTACTATTCTTCTCGTTGATGCTGGTATATACCAGTTCGCAGGCTATAGGGTCATTTCCAGATCCGGGCAGCAAGATGATGCATCGTATCTCTCTCAAATCAGGATTCAATGGTAGAAAGACGCTATTGTGGTTCGTTACGCCGAGGGAAGGCAGGTATGAGCGCTCTGCAGTCTTCGACGAGGACATTGAGAGTTGAGCACCGATTTCATGGGAGGCAGAGTAGAAAGAGAAGGGAATTTGTAGTGGGTGAGAAAGTAGTGCTCGATGCTGTGGTTGGTTGTGTTAGGTGTCTTTGTCTCCCCGTGCTGCGCGCCCCCTGTACCGTTGAGCGCTAGCCTCGTTTTCTCACGTAATTATCCAGACTACGCTTCATCACCGTAGTGGGATTGTAGAGTGAGTTGAGAGTAAGCAGTATTTGCGGATAACGCAGATGTAGATGCAGTGTGACTGAATTACCTCGTTGGGCTTATCCACACGTCACTAAACCCCATTCCACCACGACCCCATGATTTCAATAGATAAGCCAATCTAATCAGCACCCGGAACATCCCAGATCTTACCAAAGGGATCATGATGCGCATCCGTCTCACGGTTATACTCCAGACCCAAGCTCAGGAAATGAGCTACTTCTTCGCCATAAACCTTACTGACAAACGCATACATTCCATCGATGCCTGCCGACACACCGCTGGTCGAGATGATGTTGCCGTCTTCGACCCAACGTGCAGTGGGAACCCAAGTTACATTGGGACCCTGTTTCACAGCCCATTCCCAGGCCGCCTTGTTTGTTGTTGCTCTGCGGCCGTCGAGTATACCCGCGCGGGATAGGATTGTTGCGCCGGTGCAGACGGAGACTATATATTTGAGCTGTAGCATTGTTAGTTGGTGAAAACGGAAAGGTGAACGGGAAAAATAGATACCTTTGGATAAGTTTGCTTGACGAAATTGATCTCTTCAGTCATGTTCCTGCGGGTGCCACCACCGCCAGGGACGATGAGAACATCTATGTCACCCTTGTCTGTCGCAGGAGGCAAATGCATACCATCATGGCTCTGACGCCTGCTCTTCACAACGGCCATGTGGTTGCCTGCACTTTGTTCGCGGCTCGCCAGGTAATCCGGGAATGTTGTGGTAGGCATAATCTCCTGGCCAAAGCCTCCAGTCATCATGGCCGACGTGACGGGATCCATAGTTTTGCTGAGAACCGAGAATTTCGGCACGATAGTGGAGTTTTGGTAGTACATAAAGAGTGTGTTGAGGAGGTCCATAGGACCAAATATGTCGAGAGCTTGATAGTGTGGGAATACGACCAGTCCGAAGTGGGTAGGTAAGGTGGTGGTATTGGTAAATTCCGGTTGTTTCGGTCTCGCAAAAGTCGAACCGAAGGCCGCCAGAGCTGGAAGCAGGATAGAGTATCGCATGCTTGAAACGATATACACTGAGAGTGTGAAAGAAAGAAGATGGAATGGGAGAAATTCAAAATAAACAGTTGTTGAAGGGTAGTCGAATTAAAAGCTGACGCAAGGGGCCTTCAAACAAAGGTCACTGTGTATCTACGTCTCCGTGCGGACCTACTGACTATGTGCCCTTCCTGTGTAGGATCTTATCGACTTTATACAGTGGTGAACACTGTATGCCTGAAATCTCCGCAACGGAATCCAGAGTCAGCATTTTGGCATCACGGTAATCTAAGTCGTTTGATTGTATTGGTCCTAATGTGCTCATTAGCCCTGCATAGCAGTGACAGAGACGCACGAGACCCGTCAAGTGACTCGAAACAAACGGAAGCCGAAGCGATGGAGGCACGGGTGGATTAGTCGGTTGTGCGAAATCCTGCACGTCTGATGTCGAGAACGAACAAGACATCAGCGCGGGTCTGGCGTATGAGAAGGTTTGAGCGACTTCTGGAAACTTTAAGTGCTTAAATACACCGGGCTTAAGCGACTGACGATGATCCCGAGAGAGCTTGCCTCTACCGATGACTTTTGTGTCCTCAGACAGTGTTTGGTGTTCTCGTGCAGCGTTGGCGATGGGACGGGGCGTAATAGATTGAGGTTGAGGGGGTAATCCTTGGGGCAATTAAACAAGATTGTGGGGAAGCATGCTTAAGGCATATCGCAGTAAGCACAGGTTACTGGTCTGGGTAGTCATGTCTTGTGGTTGGTCGTTTTGCGCGTAGACAGATTATGGAGCGGCTATCGTACTGTAGCATGCATTCTTATTTTAGATATGGATGATATGGATCTGCACCAGAAGCCGTGAGTGGTTGTTGCGCTAATGATTTCTTTTGACAGTCGAGCTTTGACTGCCTTCGGCCCTCCGCGTCAGGCTTGACCAGCCTCCACTGGGACCTAGATAGTCGGCAATGCGATGTATCCGTGTCGCGCTCGCGTTTTCCAAGCTTTGTCTAGCCTGTTCGCATTATGCGAACATAGTTTGATGTTCATCGAGATGGAAAAGGACCATGACATCTGTGTTTGTAAAGCCATGGGGTAGGCCATTGGATGGTCGCAAACAGCACAACGTTCAGGGACCACACATGCTCAGGGAGGATTGAGCCATGGACGTCTTTCAAGTACGTGAATGAGGCAGTTGTTAGTCGAGTGCGCGATGGTGAGACAGCATCGAGATGTCGCGCCAAGCGAAGCGGGTTCCTGCGATAATGACGTATGTAGCTTGAGCCGCGCGTGATCCCAGCCTGAAATCTTCACAGCAAAGCGCATCCTTCAGCCTCCTGCATCCAAGAATTCCATCACCTGCGCATCGATGCACGTGAAAGCCTGCTGTGACAACTCGGCCTCACAGAGGTAGCACATTCGGCGACAATGCCTTCCAGTCGGCCAGCCCTCGATGCGCGCCGGTCAACGCTCCGTATGTAGCTTCGGTATGCGAGGTGCACTGGAGACATGCTAACTGTGTATATTGACACGTAGATTATACTACCTTCCCAACCATTCCCCCCAAATCCCGCGGTCGACCACCATCTGACTCCCCGTCCGGCCAAGATGGCAACCGTTCTGAAGATGGCAGCCACAACCACCACGAGTCGCCCCTGCCGACCAAGCAGCTGATCGTACTAGCTGTCATAGCTCTCGCCGAGCAAACAGCCCTCAACTCGATAAGCCCATATCTACCAGAGATGACAAAGTCGTTCCCCGAAGTCAAGGATGGACAGACAGGGCTATACGTCGGACTCATCGCATCCTCGTTTGCCTTGGCGCAGTTCACAACAAATTTCTTTTGGGGTTGGCTATCCGATAAGATCGGACGGAAGCCAGTCATCATCATGGGTACTTTCTTGACCATGTGTTGTTTCCTGGCTTTTGGTTTCTGCAGAGAACTCTGGCAGGCTATACTCGTCCAGGCTTTGATGGGCTTTGTCAACGGAAACAATGGCGTTGTGTCGACATGTTTGGGCGAGATTACGGACCGAAGCAACCAGTCACGCGCCTTTACCTACCTGCCCGTAATCTACGGTATTGGTGGCATAACAGGGCCCATCGTGGGAGGACTCTTGGTCCTGTACCAAAACCCCTTCAACAAGAGCCAGTCGAACCCATACCCGTACCTTCTTCCGAACCTCTTCTCGGCTCTCGTCCTCGCCATAGATCTGGTAGTGTGCATGCTCTTTCTAGAAGAGAGTTTGGAAGAAGCGAAGAACTTACCCCCTCTCGGAAAGAGATTGGGTAATTTGTTCTCATGGATGTGGCAGTTCACAAGCTCGACACGACCGACCTACGTACGACGCCTCTTGGGCAACCACAAAAACCACAATTCACAAGACGATACACAAGATGATGTAGATGAAGACGATGCTTCTGATGCCTCTGGAGAGTCTGCACCTACGCTCTTCCCACACAGCAGCGGCGACGAACTCACGCGGAAAGAGATTCTGAACCGGGATACCGTCCTGCTTCTCGTAACATATTTCATATTCCAGCTCGCAAACATCTCGTACAACTCTCTATATCCAATCTTTGCGGAAGAGCAGCCGCCTACTGGACGAGGCCTGAAGCCTGAAGCCGTCGGACTATCCTTGTCATTCGCTGGTGCAATAACAATACTATTCCAGATAGGTGTATTTGGCAGGCTCAGAGGCAAGCTCGGCAACAAGATGGCATACAGAATCAGCTTAGGACTGTTCATAGCAGCCTTCGGTCTCATGCCATGGGTAGGCTATAAAGAGAGCAAGGGTTACAAGGGTATCGGCTCGGGTGCTGGTTGGTTGTGGTTTGAGCTTGGCGTTGTGTTGGTAATCAAGACGATTGCAGGTGTCGGTGGTCTGACAGCTGCGCTCCTTATGGTAAGTTATCGTGTCGATTATGTAGTGACCTACAGATGCTGATTTTGTACAGATCACCAACTCTGCACCCAATCACAATGTGCTTGGTACGCTCAATGGCCTCGCTCAGACGCTCTCTGCCGCTGGTCGTGCGGCTGGTCCATTCCTATCAGGCTCGCTTTTCACGGCTGCTACTAAGTTGAAACCCAAAGGCGAAGCTTTGCCTTTTGGTATCTTCGCTGGTATCGCACTTATTGGGTTCCTTTTGAGCTTTGGAATCCGCGGCGAGGGACTGGAAGCTGAAGGATTCAGCGACGACGAAGACGAAGACGAAGAGGAAGATGAAGAAGAGGAGATTGGTGGGGGCGTGAACGAGCGTACAGGATTGATACGGAAGTAGGAGGTGCGCGAAACTCGGAATATATTGCAGCATATTTGCACGACTTAGACTCCTAGATCTTGACTATCAGCGCGGCGTTCATGTGGTGGGTCTAGAATATATTCATCTGGCTGAAGCGTCAGCCAATCATCACTTCGATATGAAACGTTCTCTGATCGCTTACTACCAAGGAGCTTGTTTCCTTAGCTCCGCCCTAAACACCGAAACCCACCTTCATGGTATACACTATTGCTTCGTTGGAAGATGTTTAAATCTTATCATTGTAGATGTCTTTCAAGGTCTGTTATGGCTAGGATACAATACAGGGGGAAAAGGCTCCTCCTGACAGTCTCGGTTTCCACAGCAGACAAATGAGAAGCCCTCCCGCAGCAAGGGAAAATGATGACCCGAGAGATTGTCTGGCCCTGATGGGAACTTGGCATTGTGATACTCACGAAACAGCTGCGGTAATCTTGCTCGCGGCTCCTCCCGTCCACAAATAGCTGGCCTTCATGTAATCACCTTAGGCGCGCTGTCAGAGAAGAGATGCGAGGAGCATGAGCATGCGCTTCCAGACCACCGGGTAATATCATGTATGACATGACTCGAAATTGCAAGCACATTTGGTGATGAGAGAGCAAGATCGGCAGAGAGAAGGGAGTGATATCTACGCAACGCCGACCGGGTGAGGGTCCATAGTCATGGAGAAGTGATTGTGATCCAGGTTGGTGCCTCAATAGGCGATGCTGAACGCCGAGCTGACCGCCTGCCGGCGGGCAATGCTGAGCTGTGAATGTTACTGCAGCACGTCTACCATGCACGCCAGGACGTTCCAATTCAATGCTGCGACAATGTCTTCGTGCTAGGATGAGGCTAGCTGGCGATGGCCCTCCGCCACAAACAAACAAGACGCTTGTCCCGCTAGCGGCCCGTCTACGGATCTCAGGGCTGAGCTGACTCCAACCTCCACGCCGTGTAATTCGACACGGAAGCCTGCCAAGCCTCACGTGCATGGGATGATTGGGTTCAGGCATGCTGCCGTCGTGAATCTCATCCTCTGTGCTTTCCCGATATACAACAGCGCTGTCAGCATTGCTGTGTTGGCGTACTACTGAGCCTGATCCGCAGCAGCTTGGTTCTCGAAGCTTCTTCCAGCTTAGCATCTTCTAGCTCTTCTGGGTGACTAGCTAGCAAGACCGTGTAACAAGCCCCGATGCAGTGCTATTGGCACTGTTGCTAGCGGCCTGGTGGAGATTCCGTGGGTGCTGGCCTGGGCTCACAGGCCTAAGATAGAATATGCGCCATAGCTCGCGGGGCTATCTCGTGTCGCGTGTAGCATGCGAAATGGGATTTGCATAAGAATCTCGGCAGGGCCGAATCGAGTTCGTGTTGTTGGTCTTGGTATGCTCCTGTCTATCATTGTTTAACCCTCTTAACTCCTTTTCTCGCCCGTTGTAGTCGTTTCATCGTTATTGACTACACAAGAGATTGGCAATATGGGCTGGAGTTTCCACGGCCACAAGCGAGATGTCGATGCGGAAAAGCATCTCAAACGGCTGCACAAGACAACACCGTTTATCGAATCCCCGCTAGTTGGTGCCGATCACGAAAACCTGGTCTTTTCTCAACGACATGAAGCGAATAGCGTGGAACTTTTCTTCGACTTGTTCTTCGTTGCTAATCTGGCAACCTTTACGGCCTATCACTCTATCACCGACATAGACTATTTACTGGCATACATCGGTTTCTTTGGCATATTATGGTCGTGTTGGTTTCAAATCACACTCCACGATGTTCGATTTGCGCGCGACTCGCTCTATGAGCGCGTGTGCAAGACAATCCAATTCATAGTTTTTGTTGGCCTGGCGCTGGTTGGAAGTCAGTTCAACCCAGCAAACGAGAAGGGCAAAGGGAACAACACAGTAAGTTTGATGCCCACATCTTGAATCATGTATACTGAATTATGCAGAATTTCCGTATCCTGTGTTATACACTAGTCATCAGCCGTGGTCTTCTTGCCATTCAATATCTTGTTGTCCTTTACTTCACTTGGAGAGCAAAGTATGGGAAGATCTACCTCCCACTTATGCTCATGTTCGCCATATATGCAGTCAGTATGGGTGCATTTGCCGCTATGACACCCGCATTCAAGAACGAGGCCGACCACAGCATGCGGCTCGTTTACATCGTCTGGTATATCGTCATGGTGCTCGAAGGCGTTGGAGTCATTCTTATATCGTGTATTTGGCGCATGATGAGCTTCAAAAAGACCCATCTGATGGAGCGCATGAGCTTGCTGACAATTATTGTTATTGGCGAGGGCGCAATTGGCGTTACCAAGACAGTGAGCAGGATGATGGGGAAGCATGGACTAGAAGTTGAAGGATGCTTTTTGATCATGTGCATCATCGTCGTTCTTGTGCTGATATGGGCTCTGTGAGTATACACAGATGGAAAAAGTCTGGGTTTCCATAACTAACGATACCCCAGTTACTTCGACAACTTTCCCCACGGACATTACGGAACCATCCGGCAACAAATATGGTCTTTGCTACACTTTCCTTTCCAACTTGCGATTGTTGGTGTTGTCGAAGGCTCTCAGCAAATTGCTTTAGCTCGGTACGTCGCCAGGAATACCGGAAAAGTCACCACCTCCATCCTTCAGTATTGCCAAGACGACCACCTTGACGGCCTGAAGCTACAAGACAAGCTACAGTACCTTTTGGAGTATTTCGAGTTAGACGGCAAGTTTGAAACCAAAAGCTATTATAATCAGGCTGAGTCGGCTATCTGGCTTGTCGGGAACGCCACAGGCATCTGCTCGCCGCAGAATACTACTCAGTATAACATGGGTGAAGACGACGAAGATGGTACCTGGCCTGAGGCGCTCAAGAACGTATCTCACCTCCTTACCAATGGTATGTACACTGGACTCGGTATGAAGATCCCAGTCGACAAACTCGAAGACTTTAGTCCCCTCAAGATTGGCCTTAAAGGATTCGAGCTTGTCTACCTCTACTACTGGTCGTCCTTCTGCCTGCTTCTTATCTGCCTGATCATATTCCTTTTCTTGATCCGCCGCCACAAGGCTGATCTATTCGACTTCACTTCCGTCATATCGCGCTTTCTTGCCCTTGGCGTTGGTGGTGCAATGTTGGCTCTGATGGCCGATACCAACCGGTTGCACAGGATGGTCGAATCACCATGGCTACTACCCATCTGCGTCATCATCCTATTCGTTATCCTGGTCATCGATAAGCTAAGCTCGATATATTGCAACTGGCAAGTTCAGAAGAGCGGAAAGCCATACGCTTTGGAATTTGAAGAGCATGGACACCACGGCCACGGACATAGTCCACACGGATCTGTGCAGGAGACGGGTGCGCTATACGGGCATGTGCCACGCGACGCGGGGTTGGAAGAGATGCGCAATACGGCACGGTGGAGCTCGCACCCCGAAGATCTGATGCCACTTACAGCTCAAAGCACCGAATACAAATCGCCGCATCAAAGCTACATTATGGAGCCTTTGACGAGCCCACCACTTGAGAGTCCCCCAGTGTCGGGACACGATCCGCTAGCCAATCAGGGATGTGTGGGTCATGCCCCAGCTGGATATGCTCCTGTGAGCACAGGACAGAACTTCGGCGCGTAGGTGATCGAGGAGTGTGGTATGGTCTGTAACTTTCGCAATATCTTATCATTTTAGCAAGCGTGGCGTTATTGTTTGGCAAGACGGCACTTGCCTTACCCGCACAGTATCCGAAGGCGGACACGGGACAAAGATGGGTATGATCATATGGCGTTATCTGTTACAGTAATAATGGAATATTGAGCGGCCAAGTCCGCATCTTCAATGAAATTCTTTCAACCCTTGCGTAACCCTAGTCACTATGTTTATTCACGACATCAGATCGACAAAACAAAATCAGCAGCGCAACGTCAGCGCCTCACAAAGATCGTCTACGTCGCAATCTTTTCTGAGCTTTCAGAAGGCGTCCTTCAAAAGAAATGGCACGTCACAGCGATACGAGTTTCGCAGTCGTTGCTGAGGTGGCACCAACCGTGTCGTATCGGCCCCCATTGTAGAGACCGGGCGGCCAACAAACTACAACAAAAACATCCAACTGTATGTGCCATTCTAGATTCTGATTAATCCCTGCTTAATGCCACAACCGGGCCGCCCCTGCCACTTACGGAGAACAGTCATGGCTGATAAGACCCCACTAATAGCAGCATTGCAGACTGAGCCTTCAACAACCCTCAAATCCGGGTTTCCAGTATATACATACATTTATCGTCGCTCCTACACATGTGGCCACGCTCCTGAACTCATCAAGGTTTCCAAATTGGCTAATCAGCAAGGAGTAGTACAAACGATCTTAAGACCAGAGCAGGTCGAGAAGGAGGGTGAAGTCCTCAGGTGGTTGAAGTTTAGGTTAGGGCGGTGCTGGGCGTGTGCAATCAGGTTGCGCGAACACCACGAAAGCATGCAAGGAAACGGGAAGGGGGGAGGTATGAGGCCGGTATCTGCTTATCAGGGAGAGGGAATACGTCTCGATTGGGCATTCCTCAGGGAAGCCAGGTCAGGCTTTGAGGCGGCGCTGAAGCAACTAGACCGCGTAAGCTGTTGTGGAGGAGAAAGACAAGAAGAAGAATGGCCATTGACGAGGGAGGTGGTTGGTGGCGACGACGATTCTATTCGGGTGGTGAATCTTCTAGATGGGCGCCTCAAGGTGGACTCGCCAGCGTCTTCACCTTCACCATTTTCTCACGATTCCAACGACCCATGGTCTCTTCGAGGAGGCGACGACGTCAGTGGCGGTTACGACATAGCGGACTGCTCACCCTATGCCGAAGGAATTCATCGTCAGCGAAAGGACTGTGCTTCCGAAGTCCGTCAGAATGCAGAGCCGAGTTGCAGCAAAGGCGTGCATAAACTAAGGCTAGCAGAAGGAAGAAAAGAATACCTCCAAGGCGTTTATCTCGAGGCTCCACGAACACCAATAGCGTTCACTTTGGGACCACGCAGCGATCTAGACTGCATCAGCTTCTTGTATCTGCTACGCAATAATAAGCTAAGCTTCGACGACATTGCGGAGCTCGTATCACGATATTCGCTTGACAATAGCGACCCCATTCTGAACGATATTGCGCAACAAAGCCTCCCGGTTGACCATCAGTCGAACATACGTGATAGTACTTTGGAGTCGTCCACAGGTCAACCGGGAGTTGTCGAGTGGGACTGTTCTTCTGATCAGGTAGACAGCCAGGCGTCAACATTGAGAAGTGATAACAGTTGTTGCACAATTGGAGACCCAAGCTGCGGAGAAGAAGACCAGAACTTGAACGACAGGGAGCCATGTTATCATGAGCCAGCTCAGGCGCAGAATGCTGAGGGACACGGAAAGACTGGCAAAGTCGAAGGGCAAGCCATCAGCATGGAGAACGCTGGGGACTTGGGTCAGTCTCATCATGACGGCTACAGCGACGAGCCGAGTGCAGCCCAGTCATGCTTCTCTTCTGATTCATCGGTTGATTCCATCGAATTCTCAAAACCAGGAGTCGAAGTTACAGCCAACAGAACAAAGCCAGCTGCACTATCCTGGTGGAAGCCCAGAAAGAAGTACCACGGAATCCATGAAGCCACCAGGGCTGCAAGCATTCCAGATTTCCAAGAGTATCCAGTAGGGCTCTGGAAAAGGATAAGCAAAAAGACGTCAGACCGCATGCTTAATAAGAATACAGAGGGTGAGACGGACCGGAAGCTGCAAGCAAGATTGTCCAAGATGGAAGAATCGTCTTTGCGGGCTTCTCGCATGAAAGAGGGTTCTGCCCACCGCGGCAGCCACTGTCCTCAGACACACAGAAAGCAGACCACTCCCCCGATTGTCCAGTCAGATGTCTCTACCTCGCCCCACATGCTCAGCGCAACGAGAACCCTCAAAAGCCCTTGCGCAAGCCAGAGTATGACGAGCAACACCACCAAGTCCCAAAGAGGTAACCACAACAGCCCTGCTTGCATTAGCGAATCAAGATGTTCCATCAGCACCCACTTCACCAGAGGTGTCACCCCGCATGGTATCAACCCTGTGCACCGGCCCTACAGACCTAGTCCTTTGAAGCACTTCACTCGAGTCACACTGTTAGATGTGAACAAAGGACTTCCGCCTCTTCCACCTGAAGCGCGGCGACTCGCACACCAGGCATCGAAGGGGATTGCATCCGAAAAGCGATAAATGAGTATATAGATGAAATGATAGGAGTATTGGATGTTGACCTTGATAGAATCGCTCTTCGTTCCGTGTTCTTGCTTTCTTGTGGTGAATTACATTTTCCTGACCTCGGCGATATCGGAAATCGTAGCTCGTGGCTCGGATTTATGCTAACCAGATTCCCGAGCTGGCTGAAGACTCATCCACCCCTCCACGACGCGCTCTCCAATAACGCAATATGACACTATCAGGCAGATGTATGCAAGACGCGTATACAATACGATGTGGATGACTCCGCGCATGTAGTCGTGTCTATAAAGACGCGTTGACACGCGCTTTCAAGGCGTATAGCTAACCAAGAACTAACCTCTTTAACTCTTCATATTTCAAGCTGTAGTTCGCAATGGCGCCCCCAGGCTCATCCCACGAAAAAGACGCCCGATGGACAGCAGTAGATACCTACTCGTTCTCTCACCTACATCCGTCTACCGAAACATCGCCCTCTCCATCATCTCTTCAACAAGCCCTCGATGCTTCTCAAAAAGCCGGTTTACCTGACATCGCTGTCTCACCCTCCCAAGGCAAATACCTCCAGCTCACCGCCCGCCTCGCACGTGCAAAGAACATCCTCGAAGTAGGCACGTTGGGTGGGTACAGTACCATCTGGCTTGCGACATCTAGTCCGGGCGTCCAAGTAACGTCGCTAGAAATTGATAGTCACCACGCCGACGTTGCACGAGCGAATATAAAAAATGCCGGGTTGGAAGACAAGGTCGAGGTCAAACTCGGGGCTGGTATGGATGTCCTGCCACAACTTGTACAGGAAGTCAAGGAGGGGAAGAGGGCGCAGTTCGATCTCGTCTTCATCGATGCGGATAAGGAGAATAACTGGAATTATGTGGACTTGGCGCTGCATATGTGCGTTTCAGGTGCATGTGTCATCGTGGATAATGTGGTGAGGAAAGGTCAATTGGCGGAGGAGACGGATGATCCAAGGGTTGCGGGTGCGAGGAGGGTAGTGGAGAACGTGGGCAAGGATGAGAGATTGGACGGTGTGGTATTGCAGACGGTTGGCGAGAAATCTTATGACGGCTTCTTGTTTGCTGTTGTGAAATGAGCGGAGAGAATGTTGTTCAGCTTTGGAAGAACGAAACGCGAGGAATCCTGCAGCATACATTATCATTATTCTTTCTACTACTGACCACATATCTCTTCTTCACCAAGTTCGTCAGTGGGCTGTCTCCCCCACCCTCTGCTACTACTCAAATGATCGTAACGACGTTTTCTTTTCCTTGAGTCTTTACGTCTTCAAGATACTAGCAGCGACCAAGATCGCAGAGCTAGTCTTCTGCACCCACTCCTGCGCCAAGTCTGCATCTTGATCGAATGTGATACTCTCAGTAATACCAGGAAAGGTGACCGGAGCATATCCAGTATCACGTCCAGGAGCGAAGATTGTATGCTGATAAAACTCCCTTGTGGGCAAGCCACCCTGCGAGGTAAAGCCTCTGGAGAAATCGCGTGCCTTGTGGTTCTGCACGGTGATAAGCTCAGTGTCATTCGCAGCAACAGCTTGATCTCTCAACGTGACAAACTCCTGGGCCGAGGTTTCGAACTGGGCGATTGCAGCAGTAAGGTTCGTAAGGTCAACAGTGAAGTTGCTACCGCTGATTTCCGTCTCGAGATCTTCAAGGTACGTGTTGAATTCAGAGACGTAGTCTGCTGGCTCAAGGGGCACGACAGGGTCGGATACCATGTGGTACAAGAGCAGAGTAAGAAACTGTCCCATGGCCTTGTGGGTGATGAAGCCAGGGTCACCAAAGGTAGCCATCCAGTGGTACGAATCGTAGTTGCTGTGGTAGGGATAGACCGGGTCGTTTGGACCTCCGCCAGCTCCCATATCGATGGATGCAATACCACGGTGGAGGAAGGCGGTGTAGTCACTTCCACTACCCAGAACACCGACCTCGCCGCTCTCGTGCGACCAGACGTCGTACATGGTAAGGCTAGTGTCGTTTCGGTAAGGGTAAACGATCTTCTTCATCAAATTCGTAGCAACAGCGTGGAGGTCTGGAGTTGCGGAAACGTCTGGGATGGGCCCGCTGACCGCGACGTCAATGTTGAGGTAGGACACTGCGGCGTTCTTGAGCCAGGGGATGTACTCTTCCATCCACTCCGTGCTTCCAACGAGGCCATACTCCTCGGCGTCCCAACTGCAGAGGACAATTGTTCGCAAGGGCTTCCAACCTGTCTCAGCGAGGGCGCCAAATGCCTTGGCCAACTCAATGAGCACGGCAGATCCAGAGTTAGGATCGGCAGCACCGCCAACAATCCAAGCATCACGATGGTTGCCCACAATGACGACTTCATCCTCGAGCGTACCATTGATGATACCAACGGCGTTCCAGATTGTGCCATATGTGTCGTTCATCACATTACTCATCGATAGAGATGCGCCAGATCCCTCGCCTGTGAAGTAACCGACTCCGGGAATGGCCCCAACCCAGTTTGTTCTGTTGACTGCAGTGCCGTTGGTTCCAAAGCCGTTGAGCGCCTGAAGTAGAGGCTGAGCTTCAATCCAAGAAATAGGTAATGATGGAATCTGTGGAGTGATTTCGGTGCGATCTGCGCGTGGTGAGTCTGGCTTGGAGACGTAACCAGGAGTAGTCGGGTCTCCTGGATAAGTAGACAAGAACTGGACGGATCCACGTTGGACGGTTGAAGGGTTCCTCGCACCACCATAAGGGTAGGGGGCCACTCCCTTTGCTAAGAGCTGTTAGTGAAAAAGTCTGGTAGAAGATCTACTGAGCCCACCTTCTGTCATGTTCCCATCATCGCCAGGGTCACTGAAAATCACAGCACCGATCATACCATGGTCCTGAGCATTCTTGACCTTGAGGCCACGGAATGGGCCACCGTACTTTGCCAGCGCAATCTTGCCCTCAAGATCGACACCAAGCGCTGCGAGGCGGTCAAAGTCAACTTGCTGGCCTCGTCCGACGTAAACGTATTCTGCAGATGCGTTGCCGGTGAAACTGTAGCCGTGGAAGACTGGAACGCTATTGGGATAGCTCGTTGTCTCGTCCTCTGCCAGTACATCTTCCATAAGGGTAGGAGTGTAAGTGCTACCATTGGAATATGTGAGCTGCAGCGAGTTCGATACAGGGTAGTTAAGGAAGACATCTGAGTCATATCAGCACTTATCTGCGTCATTTTCGGAATAGATGTTTATGGAGTTGCAGATAGTAGTAACGTACAGTACTCGTCGAGCCTTGAGGTGAATCCGTATTCGGACCATTTGTCGGCAGTCCACTGGGCTGCACTAATGATTAGTCTTCTGCTCTATCGCTTGAGAACGATCTTTGGTTACCCATCGACTCATTCTGGCCAGCCAAATGTTGGCCATGAGCTACGTTTGGTTAGTTTACTTGTTTTGGCAAGTTTGGTGAAGCATACTGTAGTAGTATGACCATTCAGATATTGACACGGAGTCAAATGAGTTTAGCAATATCTCTTCATCGGGTGTCAAGGCTGGAGGGAAAACGGATTGCCGCTTGACATGCTTATGTGGGTGATGTAGAAATGCACGTTCACGCTGGCAGGCTTGTGCGCCAATAGCAGCGAGTGCCAAAAGAGTTGCCTTCATATTGACTGACAAATGCACACTTCACAGAGGCAGAAGGGTACCGCAGAATGGTACGATGCATGGTACCTTTTATACTTGCAAGCAGCTCGCTCGAGGTTCGGTTCGATAACGTCAATCTTTCCACCTAGAGGGTAGTTGCTCCTACCGAGGGCAATTGAGCCTGCCGAATTCCCTGCTCCTACGTTCCATCGTATTGTGACATGGGGTAACTGTAGCTGGATGCAAGCACTGCGTAACGACGAGGTATACAGGTAATTCGCTAACGCACTCGGGAAGGTGAATGAGATAGAGACGCGGGGCGGAACATTAACGTGCTTGGCAGAGGAAGATGACGATATACGTAGTGGGGTAGCTTCTGGAATGAGGAAGAGAGTATGCAGAGATGTGCGTATCTTCTGCGGTCAAAATCTGACGGTCAGATAGCCGGTCGGAAAGTCGCGCATGCCGACGCTGCTGTCCCGTGCACGTCGCCAGAGACTGACCCGAAAGCCGTCCGAAGAAAAGCAAGCGTAGTGGAAAGTGTGAGCTGATGGTGTAGACGGCACAGAGCACAAGATGGCCGGTTGAAGTTGATTGCGGGGGAGTGCGGAGAGAATTGCCTTGTTCCGCGACGCGCTTGGCAAGGTAGGAATCGCGAAGACTGATGCATGGAGGCAATAGCTGAAGACACGGGGAGTTTTGCTAGCTATATAGCATTGTCGTCCATCAAGGTGCCGTCTCAAGGCGACAAGGCACAGTTGTCGCGAGAACTTGGGTGTCGAATCCGAAACGGATCTACAGCTAATGTGCTTTTGGCTTAGTAACATGCGGGTGAACGATGCAAGAGTGCACGGCGCAAGATGCTCGGCGAAGACTGCGTCAGTCAATAAACATTCGGGCTGCCGGCAGCGCAACCACCACGGCAACAGGAGGGAGACAGAGGATACTAATTCATGACCATCGCAGTCCCAGCCGCACAGCCACCCGCGACTTGCTGTGTCTGAGACTCGCCGCCTCTCCTTTGTACCTTCCTTGTCGTAACAGTCACCAGTCGCTCTTTCATCCCGACCGCAAACATCGCCATGGACGTCTTTTCCTCACCTCTGCGGATGATTCCGCCCCTGACACCCCGTCGCGTTGCATCGCCAGCCATGTCACCAGCAACCAGAAGAGGCAGGGCGCACGGCAGCTCAGAAGAGAGCCGCCTCCGTGATCTGTCGCCCGAAACCACCCTCCGCGCCTTTACGCAGAAGCCCATGCCCTACGACACCACACGCGACGAATACAAGATCTTCTCCTGCATCGAGACCCTCACCGCTGCCGAGAGGGACCTGGGATCGCGCGTCGCAAAGGCAGCGCAGCGGCTGAAGATATGGTGCGCCGAGATTGAGCAATGGGGCTGGTCGGGCAGCTTCGAGCAGCCGAGTGCCCAGTTCCGCGAACAGAGGAGGAAAAGCATCGAGATGCACATCAGGGAGCACGTGGCCGAATCCGACGGCGCCGATGCCATGCCGCCATTGGAATACTGGGGGTCGATGCTGTCAGTCGAGGTGGAGCAACACGAGGCGCGGCTAGACGACATCGCCGACGAGATGCTGAAGCTAGATGTCGAAGAGCTGAAGGAACATGTGCTGGACATGCACCCAGCAGGCAGGTCGAGACCGTCCTCTGCTGGTTACGAGGCCAACCGCCAACATTACAAGCTCATGGACGACTTCTCCTTTCTCATCACCCAAACCCTCCTATCCGCCCTACCGCATCACGCCCAGCTCAAAGCCCGCCTGAGCACATGGACTGCCCGCGTCTCCATCCTCCGCGAAGCACCCCGCTACACCGGCGAGCTCGACACAGCGCAAGAAGCTATGCGGTTAGGCTGGGAGGCCATTGAGCCACCAGCAGATACGTCCGATGCCGCCTTCGAGCAGTGGAAGAGCGCCGTAGACACCATCTCTCGAGTGCTTCATCAAAAAGTCAGCGATTTGGGTAGGCAACTGGACAAGATGCTCGATACGCTCGAAGGTCAGGAGGACTGCCTGCCAGACAACTGGATAGACGTCTTTGAGACTACAGAGGCTGACTACGGACGCTGGAAACACGAATCGAGAAGGAGGGTCATCGACCTCGAAGTCCGAAGGCGGGCCGAGGGGTTTAATGTCATTGGCAAGGGCGGTACACACGAGACATTACAACCCCCTGACCTTGCATCTGAGCCTGGGCTACACCCGGACAACAACCCTGTGCAGTCTGCTTCTGCCCCCAGACCAGCCGCTGTTAATGCTCGAATCGATTCTGTAGCGTCTGCTAACGAAGCATCGCCAGAGGAAGCTGCTTCGCAGAATAGCCATCGAGTAGCTCCGCATGACTACTTTGGTAGTATACCTCATCGGGTGATGTTCTCTGGGGACTATGCCCTCGACGCATCCAACAGCAGCAATTCAACACTCCACACCTCCATCGGCTCCAACAACACACGTCAGGTATCTGGAGAGACTGAGGCTACAGAAGTCGAGTTGCAACAAGGCATCGCGCCATCTGTTGACGAAGACTCGGAGTTTGAGGAAGGCGATACCGTGGTACAATACGATCTCGACGAGAGTCCTGAAGACGTCGCCGCGCAGTCAGAGTCTGAATCACTTTCATCGGCCCCGACTGGAGTAGATCAACCATCCCAGGCATCTTCACAAAGCCGACCCAAACCTCTGGCCCTTTTTGGTAACCCAACTATCACCAAAAACGATGGCCGGGACAGTCCCGTTATGGAGCCGCCTCAAACACCACGCTCGTGGAGAGGTAGTTTGAGTTCGCTGTCAACAGACATCTCACCAGACTCAAGCCCACCTAGCACCGTGGAGGAGTCTCCTTCAGTTCGAAACGCAACCAACCGCTCTATGAGAGCACCGCGTCCCGAGCTCAATGCAGCCATGGCAAAGCGTCGACCTGTACAGACTACTACTACCACCACCGCAGACGATACAGTGAGCGCACCATGGCCGCCAACACATTTCGCTCAGAAGTCCGCCAGCAGCGCGGAAGAGCTCGAGCGCAAGATCTCTGATATCCTGACAACCATTCCCGGCCGCATTAGACTCAGATCAGGTCCGGGTCCCGATGCACCCGAAGTCAAGCCAGCCCGTGGCCTTCTAGCCAAGGGAAGTCGTGGATACCTGCGCGCAGCTCGCTCAGTCAGTGGCCTCAAGTCTCCCGAGCTCACTCTGTCGCCTGCGAAGAGCGAGTTCGATCTAAACAACACTGCATCCGGACGGAGGTCTGCAGCGGCGGCAAGAGGCGATAACGACATCAAGTTGTATCATCTCACGCAACCTGGCAAAGAACAGCCCATCAAGCTGTTCATCCGCCGCGTTGGCGAGAATGGTGAGCGTGTCATGGTCCGCGTTGGTGGTGGTTGGTCTGATTTGGGTGAGTATCTGCGCCAATACGCTGAGCACCACGGTCGCAGGACTGCAAGCGAAGGCAAATTTGAGGTCCTAGGTCTCGAGGTGAAGAACCCCGATGGTTCTCCCACCCGACCAGACAGCAGGGCGAGCAGAATGGAGAGACGAATCAGCGTCGGCTTTCCCTTGGCTAGTCCAAACACGACACCCGTCAAGTCATCTGGTCTGAGCTACTTCACAAGCGACGAAGCGCCTCCACCGATGCCTAGCTTCATCACTGGAACACCAGGCGCTACTGAAGACCCGACTATGCCTTCTTCGACCTCGTCCCGCAACTCTTGGCAAGGCAAAGAAGTCGGGCTCGCTGGCCCGAAAGCGAAGAAATTGGACCTTAGTGGCGAGAAGCTGGAGTGGATCGAAGGCATGATGAAGCAAGCTCGCACCGTGAGCAGTAACGTCATCACTTCAAGCCATCCGCCTTTCGAGCGGACGGATAGCATAAGTGACATTCGCCCAAGTAGTGCTGTGGCTGGGAAAAAGACCGAGTTTGGTGATCTCGGCAAGGTTGGTGCTACCAAGAGGGTCTTCATGAAGGGTGGCAAGCCTGATCACTAGTTGAGGAAGAGAAGGAGAAGTGGCTTTTAATATTCTACATTGATACCCTGGGCCTATATATTGTATTGTACGGTTTTCGTTTGTTCTTGGGATCGGTTGGGACTGGTTGGACATATACGGTATTGCGAGGCAAGCATCATCACTTTAGATGGACAAGCTTTGCAGCACCTTTTTGCAGGTTATACACCTGCGGCGTTATTTGGGTTTTATGGTAGTGCCACTAGCAGTGACCATGGTGGCGTTTAATCTCGTTTGTGATTCACGATAATAATTCTTTACAAGCTGTCATGCAATTGTTTAGTCCTCTACGTTCGCAAGTGAAGAATGAAGATGTACCAGAGGCCTGATGTCGTTCATGCCACAAAGGGTGCTCCAGGCCCCTGTTTGCTTCTTCTTTTGACGGAAGAAACTAGAGGGCCCCACGAGGGTAGAGCGGGCGAGATAGAACAGAATGAGTGCCAAAGGTGGGTAGCGCCACGTTCCACAAAGCCGGCGAGCACAAAACGCGCAATGCCGATATGGAGGTCGCGGGCTGGTTTGATCTTCGCACGTAGACTAATCGACACAGTATTGAGGAATAACTTGTGGCAATTTAAGAAAGTGCGGACGTTGGAGAGTGTTTGACCAAGTGTTGAGTGAAGAGATACTGGAAGCAACTGCTCGATGAACCGTGTCCATTTCAGCCGAAGCTATTCATCATCGTCGTCATTGTCGCCTTGAACATCCATGACACGTTCGCCGGCTTTTTCAAGCGTACGGCGACTCCATACACGGACTCCTTTGTAGATTGCCTAAATACTATCAGTAAATGATTATGACGGAAGCGGTTTCTTCACATACCGCTAGAAATGTGCCCACGCCTATCAGGATAATGATCCAGCTAACCTGCTCATATCGGTCTCGACCAGTCGTTCGACCTCGGCCTCCTCCAATTCTGAAATAGGAGAGCGGACTAGCGATGAGAACTTTCAAGAAACCAAGCACACCCATGCTGGCAAAGCCTTTCGCAAAGTGCTCATACCAAGTGGCTGACTCTTCGTCTTCATAGTAGTACGAGTAGTCGGATCCTGAGAAAGGGGACAAGAAGCTCCATGGATCCAGATACAGGTTTATGATAGGATCGGCAACGAAACCAAGGACGAAGATGATGGAAATTAATATGATGGCAGTCAAACCAACCTGAGCACCTGCAACGTGTTAGTTGTCGTAAAAAGAGGAGATATAATGACAAAAACGTACCAATGCTACCTATGAAGCGCCCAACTCCAAGACGCGCAAGTCGGTATTTGAAGCCACAAGTAGGGCATTGCCAGTAGTTCCTACGTCCATAGCTAGGGTCTGCATGCCTCCAAGCCTGTAGACAAGCCTCATGAACATACTTGGATGAACCTTTGCACATACATGGACGGATCAGGCGACCGCTTTCATCTTCGTAAACCACATTGGAAGACTGTAAGAAGCCGGGGAGGTTTTGTGAGGGAACATTGAATGTTGGCTGAACCGTCTCGAGACATATCCTGCATTGTCGCGGCGGCCAGTGAGAACGTCTAGAGCTGCGCGATTGCGACGAAGCGTTGTCGCTGGTACTGGAGGTGCCTGAAGGTGATGGCTGGGTGGGCTCCGTCTTCGGCGCGTCATCAGGCCAGTACCAACCCGGCATAGCCTGGAATCCAGAAGACGAAGACATGGCGGATCGAAATGCTGTAAAGGTACAAGGCAGAAGTTAATGCAGCTCTTACCAGTAAAGAAGTATGTGGGTAAGCATAAGATGACAAGGCGATCAATCAGGAAGTCGCGGGGAAGACATTCGCCAACTTAAGTGTCTCGGTAGTGCGGATCATGTTCCGCCACAGCCGCCTTTGCTGTATGACACTAGGGACACGGTGGCAGGATGCAGGTGTCGTAGACGTGGTGGTGATTCAGAGGAGCAGTTCTGGAAGGTCGAAGAAATCAAAGTTGCAGCTTCCTGGAAGCAGACCGGAGGCACGGTTAGGCCGAGCGCCGGTCTTGGCGCCGTCGGCGACGAAGCTCTGGGTAGCCTGGAGCTCTAGCAGATCGCCTCCAGTAACCCGCGTCGTCTATCAACCCCACTGAACCTCTCCCTGCCGCCGACTACACCCTTCCTCACATACCACCTCTCGATCTTGTCAAGCAGTCACCATGGCGGACAGATACTCCTTCTCCCTCACCACTTTCTCTCCCAGGTAAACACTGCGGTCTCGATCACACATGATATGTTTGCTAACATTCATACAGCGGAAAGCTGGTACAGATCGGTACGCGCCCTGGAAATCTTACGAGTCCCGCCGTACTGGAGCAGACAACATCTAACACATGAATAGAGTATGCCTTGAACGCCGTCAACCAGGGTGTTACCTCACTAGGAATCAAGGGTACGTCACTCTGCTCATTGGTTTCCAATAGTGCTGACTGGAATTTGCAGCAACTAACGGCATTGTCCTCGCAACCGAGAAGAAGTCGTCATCGCCGCTCATCGACTCGCAATCGTCATCAAAAATTAGCCTCATAACACCCAACATCGGTATGGTCTACTCGGGCATGGGCCCTGACTACCGCGTTCTCGTCGACAAGGCCCGCAAGGTCTCACATACTGGCTACAAGCGCGTCTACAACGAATACCCACCCACGAGGATATTAGTCCAGGACGTGGCGCGAGTGATGCAGGAGGCTACACAGTCTGGTGGTGTTCGACCGTATGGTGTTAGTCTGCTGATTGCAGGATGGGACGACGGTATCGAGCCTGAGGCTGAAGGCAAGAGCGAAGAGCAGACGAGCGAGGAGAAGAAGAAGGTCAGCGGCAAGACTGGTGGCATCCTCAAGGGCGGACCCAGTCTGTACCAGGTCGATCCCAGCGGCAGTTATTTCCCATGGAAGGCGACAGCGATCGGAAAGAGCGCGACAAGCGCCAAGACCTTCTTGGAGAAGCGATACACTGACGGTCTCGAGCTTGAGGACGCTATTCACATTGCTCTGCTCACACTCAAGGAGACCATAGAAGGAGAGATGAATGGAGAGACCGTCGAGATTGGTATCGTCGGACCGCCAGAGGAGAGGCTCCTTGGCGTTGAGGGTGTCGAAGGCGCTGTGGGACCACGGTTCAGGAAGCTGAGCCCGTCCGAGGTTGAGGACTACCTTACGAACTTGTAGAGGGTTATGATGCAGCACCGTCCTGCACTGGGTCGAAATAAATGAACTCGGCGCCAAAGGCATGAAGCGACTTATGTAGCATTTACGAAAATGATGTCTTGAGATGCCCAATGCTTGAACTCATATTGCAGTCATTGGGTGTTGCGCGTTTCGGTCAAATCTAATGGGGTTATTCATGCAGTAAGGACAACAGCCAGGACTTTGTGCGTGGTTCTGGTCATCTGCATATCCGCCGCCAGCCAACACAGCTGCCCGGGTAGGCTAGCACGCTGCCACCCTTGGACCTCAAGTCCCAACACCAAAGGTTACCACTTCTACACATTCTTTGCTTGCGTCGCGTTTTTTTCCTAGAATACGAATGGATTCGCCAATGCAAGATGACAACTATGGCGGAGTCATTCCGACTGCTTCCAGTAAGACATTTCAGCTGCGAGGCTATCAGGCTGAGATGGTTGCAGAGAGCATGAAAGACAACGTCATTGTCGTCATGGACACAGGCTCGGGAAAGACGCATATGTAGGTTTGCATGTTCTGCCATGACGGGACCATACTGACAAGTTCGCAGAGCCATCGAACGAACACGAGCGGAGTTGGAAACGTGCGAACCCGGCCAGGTACGGATACCTATACCTGCCGCTAGATCCCCACGCTAGACTTGATCTCACACGCCTCCTTCAGGTTATCTGGTTTCTTGCGCCAACAGTTGCACTCTGCGAGCAGCAATATGATGCTTTTCAATCTAATATACCTGGGGTCGGACACCAGCTACTTTGCGGGAGAGATGATGTTGAGCTGTGGACGACCCAGGCAGAGTGGGACCGAGTACTTCTCAATGTTCGCGTGGTCATCTCAACACACGCGTAAGCCCCCAGGTTGAGCGCAACAGACTCCACGCGCACCCACTCATACGTGCTCAGGGTACTCCTTGACGCCCTCACGCATGGTTTTGTCAAGTTGAGCAAGCTGGCTTTGCTAATTTTCGACGAGGGTCAGTTCGTCGCGTTAACACAACAACATCTTAGTACTAAAGTCCTGTAGCACACCATTGCACATTGAAACACCCAGCTCACCTGTAGGGTTCTTCATTTTATACCAAAAACTTAATGAGCAGAAGGAACTAATAGTACCAGTATAATGTCCGATTTCTACTCGCCTCAATTGAAGAATGGAGACAGCTCACTACCTAAAGTTCTTGGCTTGAGCGCAAGCCCTGTCATGAAAGCAGCCGCTAGCGCAGAAGGGCTTCAGTAAGTCCGACTTGGTAGAACAGGTTTTCCCCCCCTAATATCTGTAGGCAAATTGAACAGAACCTGCATGCGGCCATAAAGACACCAAAGCTACACAGGTCCGAGCTGATGCGGTATGCGCATAGACCTCAGCTACTGCAAATCACTTACTCCCCGGACGCTTCGGGTCAAGAGCATTCTCACCTGCTCCTTGCGTTGCAGCATGTATACCGCACGTATGATCTTGCAAAAGATCCGTACGTGATCGCATTGTTGGACCAACAAAAGCGTGGTTTCGATGTTTCTCGCCAATTGACCAAATTGTGGAATAGTCAGAAGACTTATTGCTACGATCAATTGAAACAGTTGGTATCAAAAGCTGAGGCGATGGCCAAAGAACTTGGGGTCTCTGCTATGGAGTACTACTTACATCAATGCATAGCCAAGTTCGACAACATGACCCGCGGCTCAGACCAGCAGCTGCTGGACCTGACTGCCATCGAGAAGCAATATCTCTTGGGAATATTCCGGGCACTTCCCCTCCAAAGTCCTTCACCCATACCTGCTACCATGATTGAGAATTCGTCTCACAAAGTCAATAAGCTTGTCGATACTTTAGTAGCTGAAGCCAATGGTACCCCAGATTTTACCGGCCTTGTGTTTATTGAGCAGCGGGTCTGGGTAGCATCGCTCGCAGAGATACTAGCATGCCACCCACATACCAAAGATCTGCTACGGGTAGGGACATTTGTCGGCTCGTCGAAGTCGTCCAAACAAAAGGCAAACATATCTGCTTTGGCAGAACCTAAGAATCAGCAAACCACACTCGATGACTTTCGCGCTGGTATCATCAACCTTGTTCTAGCCACAACGGTACTGGAAGAAGGTATCGATGTATCCAGTTGTCATCTCGTTGTGTGTTTCGAAAGACCCAAGAATCTGAAAAGCTTCGTTCAACGAAGAGGAAGAGCAAGGAAACAAGAATCGCGTTATCTGATTTTCGTGCCCGATACTGGAGAGGCACGGTCCTCGACGTCCTGGCAGTCGCTTGAGGCTGAAATGAGGAAAGCATATGAGGATGATAAGCGTCGAGTGCAGGCAGCGCAGGAAGCGGAACATATAGACGAGGTCGGAGAGCGGTACTTCAGGGTTCCAAATACTGGGTGAGTGGAGATTCTTCTGGGTCGTGTTTGCTCTAGCATCCAGCCATTAGAACTAACTCACCCTGATTATCTATTTACTAACAAAACCAGCGCTCTGCTAACTCTGGATAACGCCTCTCAACACCTCCATCATTTCTGCGCTCGTCTTGGGGGTAGCGCTTACGCCGATACGCGACCAGAAGTCGAGTTTACAAACGACCGCGGCCAGATCACCGCTGAGATTACATTGCCGCTCTCAGTTGATCCCAAAGTGAGGAAAACCAAAAGCTTGGAGACGTGGAGGACAGAGCGCATGGCTCAAAAAGATGCTGCCTTTGAAGCATATAAGGCTTTGTATTCGCACGGATTGGTGAACGAAAATCTTCTCCCTGTACAAGATGAAGAAGACAACGCAGCACAGTACCAGATCCGGGACGATCGCCCATCCGTTGTGCCCGTTGCCCCAACTCTCGATCCTTGGTTAAGTGTCGCACAGTCTCATCAACATGAACCCGATATATGGTACCGTACCCTGCTCGAGGTAAAGGCGCCAGATGAGGAGCCGATACGTATCATACTGCTGACTCCTGTCGCCATGTACGAAGTCCCTGATATTTTACTACATTGGAACAAATCCGAGCGGTACACAGTTACGAGCTCTTGTCTATATGGTACACCACTGGCCGACATAGATACTGGTCTGCTGCGCTCTATCACGTGGAAGATCCTGCACTCAGTCTTTGGAGTTCACATCAAGGAAGGAGTTGACGACTTCCTCTGTCTACTTGCTCCGTGCGATTCATCAGGTTACATGATGACCGAAAGTGAACTCCATGAATGGCATGCGACGACAAACGGCCAACAATCAGCACCAAGACTTCTGATTCAAGGAAATATCAACATAGCAAGCTGGGGTTTGACTATGCAGCAAGGCGACGCTCGGAAATTCATGCCTGTGGCTATCACACCATCAGATTCTCCAGATTTTTCGGGAGGATACGAAACTTTACTACGAGCTGTGCGGTTGCCTAAGCGTCGAGACTTCTTACATGTTGTCTACCAAAGTGCGGACACGAACGACGCGTACACCAAGGTCGAAAGTCTTTTAGCTTCTACATGTATCGTCGAGAATCTTCCTGCCAGATTTGCTATCTTTGCTTTACTGTTTCCATCAATCCTACACAGGCTTGAGGTATACATGATCGCGGATACGCTTAGAACGACGCTACTAAAGTCAGCCGAATTCGAAGCATCGGACCTCCCAATCATCATCACGGCACTCACCTCATCCGCAGTCGATGGATGCAACAACTACCAAAGGATGGAGTTTCTCGGAGACTGCATCTTGAAGTTTATGGCTTCTCTTCATGTGATGGCTGCAAATCTGCTCATGCCAGAGGGTATGCTAACGGGGAAGAAAGGAAAACTTGTCAGTAACGGATATCTAGCACGGGCCACACTAGCTGCAGGTCTCGACAAGTTCATCTTCTACAAGCGTTTCACAGGTGCTAAGTGGAAACCACGATACATTGGTCAGACACTCGCTAGAACCGCGCTGCCAGTCAAGGAGGAGAAGTCGTCAAAACTGATCGCCGACGTTATAGAATCACTCATCGGAGCTTCATACCTTGTTGGTGGGTTTTCAAAAGCTTTTGTGTGCATGAAAGCTCTCCTACCGCTTGAGAAATGGACGCCTGTTCCAAAGGCAAATGAGATACTCTATGAAGCAGCTTCTTCTCAAGACAAAGTAGCGAACTTGGTGTTGCTTGAGCAGCTGTTGGGTCATACGTTCAACAAGAAAGAACTTCTACTTGAATCACTCACGCATCCCACGTTCCGGGGCCCTAACGTCCATTGCTCTTACGAGCGTTTCGAGTTTCTGGGCGACGCAGTGCTCGACTACATCATTTCAAAGCGGCTCTATGCTCACAATCCAAGCCTTCCACATTGGAAGATGCATGGTGTCCGAACGGCAATGGTCAATGCTGCATTTCTGTCTTACTGTATGTTCGAGACTACAGTAGCAGAGGAGTTGACAAACAAGGCGACCCTCGAGCCAGAGATACATCAGAGAGCTTTATGGCAGTTCCTTCGATCATCGAGTGCGGAACTTATCGCTGCGAGGACTATAGCTTTACAAAAACATGCCGAGACACGGGATTTCATCGCTGCCGCTCTAGCGCATGACAACCGTTTCCCGTGGCATGCCCTTTCACTAACTGATCCACCCAAGTTCCTTTCCGATATAGTCGAGAGTGCTATCGGCGCCCTCTATATCGATTCTCATGGCTCTATATCTGTCTGCGAAGATTTCGTCCGTCGTCTTGGTATCTTGCCATGTCTCGAACGTATTTTGCGCGACGGTGTAGACTGCTTGCATCCGAAAGAGCGGATCAATACCCTTGCTGCTAATAAGGGTATCAAGTACGTCCGTATTCTGAGCGACAAAGAAGGTAACAAGAACGAGACACAAGGTTCTGAGCGAGGGTATAGAGTTCAGGTTCGCATTGGTGGGAAAGATGTCGGAGGGAGCGTCGAGGGAGTCAAGAGATTGCAGGCTGAGACTATCGCTGCCTGGAAGGTTATCACGCTACTCGAAAGTGAAGGTGTGGGCGACGCGCTTACCGAACTTGAAGAAGACGAAAGTGATGACGAGTTCTTCGACGCTGAAGACGGCGGCGGAGTCATGCTGGATGTTGGTGACAGAGTTGGGGCGTACAATTAGGAGGACCACATCGTTCAATACAAAATGTCATTGAGCGATAGCGTTATCTAGACCAGCCAATGTCAAGGAGTGTGGAACGACCAAGAATGTTTTGGCTAATTAATGCGAGCAGAATGCTGTCGCATAGCGTATGATCACAGGAGGATAGTGTGACCACGTTCCCATATTCGCCACTACTATCGTTGGGGTTGTGATTCGCCTCACATTCAAGGTATACACCTATCATGCTTGACGCCAATGGACGCCTAGATCTTCAGGTAACAGGGTGTTGTCTTCGGTCCCCATATAGTGAGACAATCTTCCAAAAACGTTTTTTGGTCATCTGGAGATCACTCGCTGGGCTTGTGGAGGCGTTGCTCAAGCTGCGTTTGCTTCGTACTAGTACTTTTAAATCAACGATAGTAATTCCTTCATTTGAATTGATACTTACTGGTGTGAGAAAATGCTGAGAGAGAGGCCTTTGCGAGCTTAATCCTTGGAGGAGCGGTTGCCAAAACACAGTAGATGGTGCGAGTTCGGCGACAGGGAAGGTGAGTGCTAGAGGAGGGATGCTAAGATCACGGCCTAGATCAGATGGCTTACACCTGTAATACACAACAGTGTTCCTGCCCCTGCCCTTTCAGCTCTTCTTCGGGAAACCGTCTTGCTTGTACTCCCAAATGTAGCGATGATTCTTCAGTTTCAAGTCGCTCCTATCCTGGTGCTTAATGCTGTATTGTTCTAAGTCAAGCATAGCTCCTCTTCTACGACCAAGTTCAAGTAATTCATCGATAGTTGTGTGGTTGGCTAAAGGTGCGGCTGGTGAATGTGGTCATTGCAGCGAGCAAGTGATGCGGCACAGTCGTGGAGGCGATTGCTTGAAGCGCGTTTATGCGTTAGATGCACGGCTAGGAAACAAAACGAGACAGAAAACACAGTATGGAGTTTCTGAAGTGGCTCTGCACC